TCCCTAAGATAACTTGTTCAGGTTGACTCTCGCGAGACGATTTACCATCACCGGTGAAAAGTGATGGGGCATCGGGGTAAGTCGTTTCCAGCCATTCGGCAATACGAAATGAATCGTAGATGAACGTACCGTCGAGTAGTTCAATTGCTGGTATAGTTATATCTGGGCAACCGGAACGTTGAGCAAGTTCACCTCGTAGTTGGAGAAAAGTGGTTGGAATAGTTTCGAATTGAACGTTTTTATGCAGTAAACCCAAACGAGTTTTCCATGCTGTTGGAGAAAAATAACAAGTGGATTTAGGGGATGCTACAAGATCGTATAGTTTAATCTTTTGATTCATTCTTTACAAAACAGTGTGAATGTAAGAATTGCGAGCATCGAGTTTTGATTCTTATCTTGTCTTATCTTCGCAACTCAATGATGACAAGGAAAAGAACAAAGAGGAGAGTATTTAGTTTATTTGAAAAAAATTTCACGCATTCTTTTTGACACACTCTAGATTGCTTTTAAACGATTGAATTAGCTGTTGATCTGGCGGTGTTACTTTCTCTGCAATTCTCACAGCGTGTTCACAAAATGCGATTGCATTTGTCTGCTGACCCATTCGAAAGTAAACGATACCAATATGCCCATAACAGCGAGCTAAATCAGGGTGATTCGAAGGAAGAGTTTTCTTCAAAATATTCAGTGCTTTCTCATGGCATGACAGTGCTTTGGAATATTCCTTCATTTTCTCGTATAAACTACCGATATTCACATTCGCTGCGGCTAGATCCGAATGTGTTGATGAGAAGGATTTTTGCAGGATTTCCAGTGCTTTTTCATAATATGAACGTGCTAGGTCAAGGTTATTCATCTCGACATATATCATACCCAGATTGTTATACAGCGTAGCTAAACTAGGATGATTCTCGGGAAGAGTTTTCTTGTAAATTTCTAATGCTTCTTGGAGATATCCAAGTGCTGTCGAATAATCAAGATCTTTTAAACAGATTAAACCGACGTTATTGTAATATGCTGCAACGTCTGGATGATTTTGTGGAAGATTTTTCTGGTAGATATCAAACGCTTTATTGTAAGAATCGATCGCTGCATCATGGTCGCCCAACTGTTGATAGACATAAGCGATATTATTGTATAATTCCGAAATATCCGAGTGATTTATAGATAAAATATTCTTTCGCTTTTCCAACGCTCTTTTGTAATATCGAAGCGCTCTGGAATAGTCAGCTTGCTTGCAATAAACTAAGCCTATGCCATTATAGCATTCTGCAACGTTTCTTTCGTCTGATGAAGTATGTCGAGATAGATCCAGCGATTTTTCAAACAATGAAATGGCTTCGGAATACTTTCCTTGGTGATATTTGCTCAAGCCTAATTGGCAGTGTATATGCGCACGCTCATGTTCATCCGGATTTTCATTCAATAGGATTTGATATAAACTTTCCGCTTTTGTATATTGACCTAATTTAAGCATGAGTTTTCCTAGTCGATACCATCCTGTTGATCCATTTGTTTCGTTCCTCAAGCATTCAGTTAACTGTTGAAGTTGCTGATCGTTGTCGTTCGTTAACGTTAAAGACACCTTCTGCAACGGACCATAATGATCAGTTAGTGCGATCTGTCCAATACGAAAAATCGCGTGCATGGAAAAAAGTACTTCCTCTTCTTCTTTAAATTTACTCTGTGTACTTATATTTGCGAAAGGCGTTGATGATTTCGATGGATCAATGGTCATAACAAACAGAATTCGTACTGAATCCGTCGTTTGTTCATTGTTTCGACTGAGTTTTAGTGAGATCTCTTCATCTGTGCTTGTCGATAAGAACTGATTGAACGATATCAATCCACCCTTGCTTTTCTTCAGTTTATCGAAATCTTCGTTTGACAAACTTTGACTTCGATACAATGTGAGTAGCTCCAACGGTCGGTGTCTTCCATATTGTTCTGAATGTAAACGGGCAATTCGATTATGAAGATCGCGAATGAAAACGGCTGTTTTGATCATCGAATCGACATTCATCGTTCGTAAATCCCTATTGATCATTGAGTAAAGAAAAGTTTCTTGCGTGTACAGATAAATTGCATTCTCTTGTTGGTAGTTCTGGGAGATTTGTTTGATTATTTCCTCATCATTTAGTGTTCTACGAGAATGTGCACGACAATGATTGAGAAATTCTTGAAAATGTCTCGGTTCGAAATTGATGGTGAGGAAAATCTCTTTTAATATCTGCGTGTACATATACGATTTATCCAGGCCGTTGAGATTTTGTGTCGAGACGTCAGTTGCGCCGACGAAACTTATCGAAACTAGATCGTGACCTTGGTCTTGACGTGTTTGTTTGAGTGATTTGCAAATTAGGTCGAAATCTGTATAGACACCTTTTACTTTGGACCAATTGCGTGCCCATTGTTCATGTCGAGTGCGATTCTGGCAAAAGATGTAGATCGTATCGACTTGAGGACGACTATGAATTACAGGAACTGTTGTTTCGCCTAATGAACCACAAGAAATTAAACAAAGTCTTTCATTCGAAAGGCTATTAATCGCCATAACACATTTGTCGACATCTGTATATGTTTCGATAATGTCAACGATCTGTTGCAGTTCTCGGAGGGAATTTTGACTATGTTTATTGTTGAAATCATTATCAAGCCAGAGCAGACGCAAGCCTTGACTCGAAGAAATCGGTGTACTTTGCCGTTGTCGTTTAATAGAAGCGCTGCTCGTTAGTTTTTTCAAAGCACTCATCGTGTGTACAACAAAAATGAAAAGGAGAAAAAACGGTTGTCTTGCCAGATAAAGACTTTGTTTTGTCGGCGAATGCAAAAGAAAAGAAACTATCGTAAAGATAACAGTTCGCTTCAGCAACATGTTGTTTTTCGACGAATTTTATTGTTGTGCGGAATGTGTCGTAGAAAAAAACAAGAAAGAATGATGTTTATAACTAGTTACTGTCATATTTAATGTATGATTTATTAAAATATATTCGCAATCCTTGCGTGAGTAAAATAGATCATAAAACGAGAATAAATAAACGGATATGAAAGACTAATGGAATGAGTAATGTTTCAAGTAGATGATGTTTGCTGTTGTTGATTAGATATTCGATCATATGCTGCATTGAACATTGAACGAGAAATCATTCCTGTTCGATGGTAATGCGTTTCTGTTGAAATGTAAGGCATAAGTTGTTGGTATGTAGTGCATAATCTGTCAGCGGCTTTCTTTCGTTCGTGTTCTTCACTTTTCTCATCGCCGGACCGCGTTTTGGCCCATTTTAATGTCGTGTCTAAATATGTTTTCGCTGCTTGTCTATGTTCCATCTGCGCTTGTCTCTTGCCTTGCTCGTCATCGTGAATGGTTGCTAAACGAACTTCGTCATCTTTAGTCACTGGAATATATTTGAAATCTGCATGATTGCCTTGTAATCGTTTTGGAATAACGTCGGGATTGATGTAATCTTTTAATTCATCGGTATTCTTTACAAAACGAATCTTACTCTCGACAACTGGATCTAACCAACGTCGGATCACACTCCAAACGGTACTAAACGACCATGGTGCATTGACAACCAAAGAAAGACCTAAGCATTCGGGATAATGATTTTGCATAGCATTGATCATGAATTTAATGTATTGATAATCTAAATTTCTCAGACCAACATTCCCCATGTCGAGAATAACAGTTCCTTCTTCGTTAGGAACTTCGGAGAAATAACGGCCGAGTTCCATGAATAAAATCAGACATTTTTCGGTGGATTCCATTGGATATTGTCCTCGAATATGTCCTTCAGCATGAACATAACTAACAGGACGTCCAACTTTATCCTTTCCCATGTGATAAAACTTGCCCGAGCTCCATTCTTCTAAATTCACACAGCGTTCACCTCGATCAAGTAATCTTCTTACACCCCATTCTTGACGCCACTTTAACGTGTCCATCATCATCTCAACAGCAGGAGCTACTTGCCATTTGCGCGCGCGTAACCATCGAAGAAGTATTGTATCCGGATCATCATGTGCAAATGCGTCAAAGAGTTCTTCGCCTAATGCGGATTCGACCACACTCGATGGCTCTTCATTGATCGCAGAGATTAGCGCAAGCCAGTACGATTTGAGAAGGTCACGTTGGTTTTGATCGAGATTATCTATGAACATGGGGTAAAGAAAAACTCAAACTGATTGCAATCACTTACTGATGTGTCCAGGATCATTTGCTGACATAGGTCAATGTGTGCAAAAGTTGACGTTAAAATCTAAAATGGTTTCTTAATGCGGGGATGTGGGCGTTGATTTTGTGTGTATAGTGTTCGTTTTATATACGGAGAGAAAAACACTCACCAGGATTTAAGTGTTCTTTCTTTCCTTCGCTATCAAATTGATAGAATAAATAAAAGAAAAAAAAATCTTTTTCTTTGTCGCGACGACGTCAAACCAGATGAATTAAGATGGATCATCTCAGCTGGTATTTCTTTTACAATAGAAATAAACTCGCTGTGAGACTTTTCAAAATGATGAATACGTTGAAATGATGAAGTATACAATTTTTCTTTTGATTATTTCGACATCATTTGGTATCCGTTATCGTGCCTCTGCATTATAATCGGCGTGACATCTATCGGAGGTAAACCTTCTGATCCCGGCATTATCGAGAGATATGAGAAGAAAATGTTGAAGATCACTTTTTTTCTGGGTTATAAATTCCATTCTCCAGACTAGCGGACGGTCACAAGCAGCAAAAATCTGCTACTTGACTGATGCTTGTACATTAAACATGTCTGGTGTTGATTTTCCGTGCATATAAACATGGTATTAAACAGAAAAGCACGATAGAAATCAATTACAATTCGATATAACCGCACCCGGAAAATGTTGCTGTACCTTTGTTAGTGACACGTTCATTTCAAATGTTCCTTAAATTGGGCAAGTACTTCATCTATGGATTGATCATCCTTGTATCTATTGGTTTTTCTTATTCGTGTATAAATTTATTTTTCATGAAGCATACGTTTTACAAATATAAGCAACGATTGAATGCTTTCATCATCACTTACGATTGTAAATCATTACGATTCAATGCAACAAAGCAAAATATCCAACGCGTTTTTCCAGATTATTTTCATATTCGTTGTTTTCGGTCAGTGCCACTTAACGATTCTCGTGTGCACACTTCATCGAATTTAATAGCGAAGAAAGTCTCATCGAATCTATTGTCGTTCATCGATTTATGGACATATGAAATTGCGAAATATTCGACAAGCAATGAATTACAATGGTCATTTATATTTGAAGATGATGTGAATTTCGTTCCTCCATCGAACTTTTCTCTCAAGTCTTATATCAACACAATCGAACAACTAATGGATCACCCAGAAATTCAATCAAAGCATGGTTTTTTTTACTTAGGAATTTGTGCTCCAACTTTTTCCAACAAGACTGGTCCATTAACTAACAAAGAGTCGAATAACACGCTTGTGAGCAGGAAAGGCTACGGATGGTGTTCACATGGAATGGGTATAACAACAAAACGAGCACGAGATTTTTGGTTTCATATGTCATCTTATCGTCCAAGTCCCGAAGGAGGCATTGATTTGTGTCTAAGACAGTACTCAATTCGAAGTAAAAACGAATATTACATTCTCGGATCTAATGTGCATTGGCCATCTAACACAGGACATTTTGGAATAGCATATCAAGATCGAAAACGATTTCGATCGGGAATGAATTAGCTGATATCATCACACATATACACGCCCGATCAATAGCCTTCAAGACCTGTCATTGACTCTTTATTTTTCCTCAGACGATGTATATTTGTCTAACTATGATGAATATAAATAATAAGGAATATCATGAAACCACAGCGATTGGCCAGGAAAAATTTTCTAGGAATGTAAGGAGCTGGAGACGGTTATAAAACGCAACGCATTTTCCGCTTGATAAAAGAAAGACATGTATTATGGCATCATTCTGTTCAATCACAATGTCGTCGACAGTCACAGCAATTAACACAATCGCCCGCTGGCTGAACTATGCTCTTGCCATTCCGATGATCAGTTTGGGTATCATCGGAGCTCTTCTCACTATGCTGATCTTTCTCGGACAAAGATCGTTCCATCGTAATCCAACTATACGTCATTTACCTTTCGAGTATTTTGATTGATAATATTCGTCTTGGTCATTTGAATCTCAATGATATCGCATGTCGAGAGTATACTTATTTCTTTTATGTTACTACGGTCAGCCGTATCATATATCTATGCCGTATTCACGCACATCTATGAAAAGAAGTCTTCTACAAATGAATATTGACGGAAATTTAGGAGAACCTTTCAATTGTTGATATGTTGTTGTTTACATCTTTTGAATCTGTAACTGTTTTGTCTGAGATAAGCTGCAAGCCAACAAATCATGCCATCAAGTACTTATCGTTTTCCTCTCTCAGTTACAATGTTCTTAAATGAAAAACGTAACAAACAAACAAATCAACATCTTTGAAACCGTGGCAAAATTTATCAAGCTATATTCGCGAATTTCGAAATGGTAGACATTCATTTGCTTCTTGAGTCAAGTTCCAGAGCAATTCTACCACTCCACAAATTTTCAAATTTGTATTCACGCAAGAACTACTTGTGAGCATCCATACATTTAAAACAGCAGTACATTTCTCAGTAAAAATAACGTGATTCGTTTCGTTATAAAACTGTCGGATTTCTCAGTTCCTATTGGAAAGAAAAGAAAATACCTGGTAGTACGTAGATACATATGCAATCATTTGATGATGACAACAACGATGGTTTCTGTAAAATCTCACCACATTGTATATTAATCGAATAGTATCATGCATGTTCACAAAGTTTATTGTCACTACGCTTCGAAGAACAAATCTAATTACTAAATACATACAATAGAAAACAAACCAGAGTATCTCTTGGAAAAATATTGTAGAAGATGTTTTCTCGATAGTGTACCATTTTACAAGATAGGACACTTAAGATCTTTCGGGGTATCGATATGATGAGATACTATTATAAAGATAGTAGACAGTAAGAAACGATATTAAGGTCTGTACCACGATCGACTTCTTAGATAGATTACCAAGCGAGTTTGATCAACTCACTGCTGTTTTTGTCTACTCAAGACAACAAAATTGCATTGGATCAAAGTAATCGCCTTTGTTGATAAATTTTCAATTAGAAAACGGATTTTTTTCCACCTTTGAGATATCAACTCGATATTATTACGGAATAATTTAGTCAGAGATCTTTTTAAACTAGAAAATTTATAGAATTTTCTGGTGGAAAAAAGTTCGAGCAGACATGTAAGAATATTAGCGCAGATTGAGATAAATACACCAAGACTTAATTATTCTGCCTCCTTCATTAGAATTCTTTATTGAAAAAGGATCGTTGAAAATAGTAAACTTATTTTCATTTTATCCTCACCTAATAAAATTCTAAAACATACACTTGAAACATTAGATTGACGTGCTCCTCTTCTGTATGAAAGATAACCTGAAGATTAAGACATGATGACTAAAACAAATATCGCGAGTATTTTGCCTATCTGATACAGAACTTCTAGAAAACATGCGTTTTAAGAATGTAAGCAACGATTAAATGCTTTCATCATCGCTTACGATTGCAAATCATTACGATTCAATGCAACAAAGCAAAATATCCAACGCGTTTTTCCAGATTATTTTCATATTCGTTGTTTTCGGTCGGTGCCACTTAACGATTCTCGTGTGCACACTTCATCGAATCTATTGTCGTTCATCGATTTATGGACATACGAAATTGTGAAATGTTCGACAAGCAATGAGCTACAATGGTCATTTATATTTAAAGATGATATAAATTTTTCGTTCCGCCATCGAACTTTTCAGAACGAGCACGAGATTTTTGACTTTATCTGTCATCACTCAATTCAGAGCGAGAATAAATATTACGTTCTCGTATCTAATGTGCATTAACCAGCTAACAGAGAGCTAGTTTAACCGATTGCAGTTCTACACATTCCGCCAACAGCTTTGTTAACATACCTATCGCTCCTTCCTTTCTGTTCACACATTCGCCTACATGGTAAATATGAATCATTACAAATATCATAAAATCAACATGCAACGATGAAAATCTGACTAGGAAGATAAAGAACTACCGACAGTTATAAAACGAGACATTTTTTCTATTTCATAATCACAAAGCTAAAAGTCAATAGAGAAAACGTTTTGAGTATGGTGAAACAACATAGTTACTCTGGTCGAGGAGAGACTTTTCACAACACCTATGTCACAATCATAGAACTTTCAACTTTGCTCAAGATCGCAATCTTGGCACTCGTCTGTGCCTCAGTTTCGAGTGAGACTCTTTAAAAAAATGTAGTTTTGACTGATTTTCTCATTATTAATCGTATTACAGATGCTGATGTCCTTCCATCCATATCAGCCTACTCAGGCAGTTGGACATTACAAAGTCCGACGCTTTCTCTTCATAACAATAAAATCGCAAAACGATACTATTATGAAACTGTTCAATTGACCATACAGGTGGCTGGCACTTACACATTTACTAGTAATGGATCATGCAGCGCCTATGGTGACCTTTATCAAGATGAATTTCATCCAGAAAACTTATCTCTCAATAAGATCGCAGTCAACGCTGAGAATCGTAGTGATAAACAATTTACCATCAATGTTGAGCTCTCACAGAATGGTAGATACGTTCTTGTTGTGATGAGTAACTGTTCAAACAGTAATCTGGGACAATTTTCCATTTTGGCATCTGGACCGACGAATGTACAATTCAAGAAACTAGCAGTGTCATCGCAAAAAGCTGCAGAAAGAACGAGTAAATCAGAGATGTTCATATAACCTTACAATGATTCTGTAACATCTGCATTTTGTATAGTTACAGGCACCCTTAACATTCCGTCGTCATATCAAATTGCTTTGACTTCGGCTAGTCCAATATTTTCGAGACCAAACAGTGGTAATGCAGACAGCTTTTATTATTCAGCTCTTCAAATAGTAGTGAGTGCAGATGGAATGCACACTTTTGTTAGTAGTAGCAGCGTAGATACATATGCTTGTTTGTACACTGGTGATTTCTCTTCAACATCTCCATCATTAAATCTGATGAGATGTGATGATGACAGTGGTGGAGGTTCACAATTTCGAATTGAAGAATATCTTACATATTATCAAACATATGTATTGGTTGTAACAACATACAGTTCAAGAATCACTGGAAGTATTTTGATCGTTGCACGAGGTCCACCATCGACTTCCACCACTCCATCTGGTGGTTCAGTCTATACTGGTACACTTACAACAAGCAGTTCAGTGTTCACTCGTCCCACCGGCACTGGTGTAAGATATTATTATCAGTCATTACGAATTGAAGTTACTACTAGTGACGTATACACTTTCGCATGCAGCAGCTCGCTGGATACATTTGGATATCTATATTCATATTCGTTTGATTCGTTGAGACCAACTGCGAATCTGATTACCTCCGATGATGATAGCAATAATGACCAACAATTTCGAATTCGTGCCAGTCTTCAATCTGGTTTCACGTATATTTTGGTTGTTACAACATATAAGCAAGAAGAAACGGGAAGATTTACAATTACAGTAAGCGGACCATATGGAGCATCTGGAGTTAGCATGTCTCCAAGTAAGTAAATCTTCACCTACATTCATATTCTCTAAACAATCTACATCGCTTTCTGTTTTATTTTCTCAGTTTTTTCGGATGCAAACTATTTCGATGGTACCTTAACAACTAGAAGTCCAACGTTTTCTCCAAGTTTTCTATCGTCCGGCAAACATTATTTTAACCATATACGTATATCAGTTTCTACGAGTGGAACATACCGTTTTCAGAGCGTGAGTTCGTTGGACACGTATGGTTTATTCTATGAGTCGTATATGTCTGTGTCGAATCCATTGTTGAATTTACTAGAGAACGATGACGATGGTAATGGAAATGGACAGTTTCGAATCAGTGTTAGTTTACAATCCTCACAAACATATTATTTAGTTGTGACAACGTACTACAGCCGAGAAACAGGAAGTTTTAGAGTTGATGCTTCCGGGCCAGGAACAATTGAGTTCACTTTAGATAATCCTCCAACTTCAAGTAGTGAAGATGACAAGAAATATGTAGGAATAATAGTGGGCATCAGTGTGCCGTGTTTTCTATTGATTATCATCTGTGCTATTGTTTTTATTACCCGACACAAACGCAAACGGGCTTTGGCAGCAAGAGCTACTGCGCCAACACGTTTTACGAACAGTCAACAACGATCTTGCCCAGTTCCTGTCAATAGAAATACCAGATCCGTACCTCCAACAGCACCAACATACATTAATACTCATACATATGTCGAAGAGCCACCTCCACCATCCTACGAAATGGCTATAGTAGATATACTAGCTAAGCAACAAAGACAAGCGAATGGTTTATAAAACAAGGCAATACATGCATTTTCGTCTTTTCTAACACTATTGATTTATTTCCATTTGTAATACTTGTAACAATAAAATAATAATCGATCATTGACACACACACAGATCATAGTATTCTTCATCAAAGTACATTGTCGAACGTGACCTTGTTTATGAGTTAACACAGTACAGAGAAAATTCGACTCGAACATAGAAAAAAAACACTCACCTGCCATTTCTGATTTGTTAATCAGATACTAATTTGCACTTTCAGATATCCATAACTATTTCATCCTGTGTAATCATCATTTTGCTCAGATGATTCTGTGGATAGTTCTTGAATTATAAAAAAAAGAAGTGTACCAGGGCATCATTCTGTTCAATCACAATGTCGTCGACAGTCACAGCAATTAACACAATCGCCCGCTGGCTGAACTATGCTCTTGCCATTCCGATGATCAGTTTGGGTATCATCGGAGCTCTTCTCACTATGCTGATCTTTCTCGGACAGCAATCATTCCATCGTAATCCAACTATACTTTACCTGTTAGCAGGTGCAGTTATGACAGCAATACATTTACCGACGATTTACCTTCAAAGTATTCTGGTTGATGGTTTCTATCTTGGGCTATTCAATACAAATGATATTGCATGTCGAGAACGTAATTACCTGTTCTATGTGACAACCGTAGCAGCTATTTCATATCCATGTTGGGCAGCATTTGATCAGTATGCTAGTACACATCGTCAAGCGGATTTTCGTTATTCTTGGAGCTCCATGCGATTTGCTCGATTCGCTATTTTCGGCACTGTTGTTTTCTGGTCCATTATTTATGCACCATTGATTTTTATCAGTCGGAGTGTCAATGATGTTTGCATTTTGTTAGATGGCCCATTGAAATTCATTCATTCTTTTGTTTTGACACCCATTGTTTTCATCATGGGCCCGCTTGTTCTCATTGCAGGTTTCACATATGGCACCATACGAAATCTTCGTGCAACCGCCTTCGCCAGCCGCCATGATCGTTTGACAAAACAAATTCGTCGTATGGTCATTCCGCAAGTGGTTATTCTAGCGATATTTGGTTTGCCATTTGGTGTCAACTGCCTCTATGATGATTTAACAAGCAAAGTACAAAAAGATCCACTGCGCAAGGCTATTGAACATTTAATTCAACAAATCACTCGCTTGATTTATCATGTTATATTTGTATCCACATTCTATATTTATTTGTACATGTCCATGGAAATGAGAAAGGTTATGGTGCGAATGATTAGAAAGTATTTTCAACCACGTCGTATTGAACCATTGAATAGTTATTTAGATAAACCACTTACGATTCGAAGAACTAGATTAAGAACTAGTTCGAATGCAAATCGATTTGACTATTGAATTTCTTCGTTGAAATATGTAAAAAGACGTTTTTCTTCTTTCATGTGACAAATAAATCAAATGACGGAGATTAAAAAGTATGATAAGTAGGTGAACACTTCAAAGAATGTCAGAATGCGGAAGCGGGTGTATAGAATACTGATATCGACACCCACTTCGTCTATTGAAAACGAGGTGCATTGATTAAGCATTATTTTTACCGGAAAAAGTGGTGTATTTCCTGCATTTGTTATTAACTTTAATAGTAGTCTTTTACTGATCTATTTTGAGTGTTGAACGAAGATTGTAGTTGTTTACTTGCCGAACGATTCATTAGAAATGATTTAGAAGAACAAAGACCAGTTTCCTTGTGATAGAATGAGTCCGCGCATAATTATATGCGTAGTGAATCTTTCTTGATACACCACTCACAGTTTTCTATCATGAGAACATCGTTGGATATAATGCTCTTAATTTTCAACAAAGATTTTTTCTTCATTACTGCGTCAGCTATTCCTATATCTGTATCTAATCTACAGCAGTAACATCGATTTTGATCCTATCCTCGCCTAAGGGAAATCAAAGACATGTTTAAAGCATTAGATTGATATACTCTTCTTTTATATGACGGATATTTTAAAGACATAGAACATGACAAAGATGGTGAATGCCATGAGCATTCTTGTTTCCATGAAAAACTATGTAAGCATGGTAAAGTTGACGTTTTAAACTAAGCCCTTTACTCTTCCAAAGACTCTTATATCATCTTTTGACGGTAATTCTTAAAGATTTACCTTCGTTAACTACTTCTAAAAAGGCTCAATTACTTTTCCCTTTTGAAATCCATACCAAATACCTTCAAGTGACAACTTAATTAACGCGAATCTAGGCGCAACGGCGATGCAAAAGAGAAAATATTAAAAAAATCACGCATGCTCTAGACATCGTGCTCTGTATAAACTGAAAGAACGTTCCCAGATCTTATTGTCAGTTACTCAACTGTGGCCAATTTACAGCTTGAATAGACCGTTCTACTGTTAACAGATATGTCAAGTGTGACAGATACTCTCAATTCAATTTCTTCTTGGCTTAACTTTCTATTTGCGATACCAATGATTACTTTAGGTGTGATTGGAGCTCTTTTAACTATTCTTGTATTCACACGACAAAAGGCGTTTCAACGCAATCCAACGACCATCTATCTCCTAGCTGGTGGAATTATGACAGCAATACATTTGCCCACGATTTATCTGCAAAGTATTCTTGTCGATGGTTTTGGCTTAGGAGTATTCAACACGAATGAAATCGCGTGTCGCGAACATAATTATTTACTTTACGTCACAACAGTACCGACAATTTCATTTCCATGCTTTGCGGCATTTGATCAGTATGCAAGCACACGTCGTGAAGCGAGTTTTCGAAATCGATGGCGATCGTTACGATTGGTTCGACTCTTGATTGTCAGTTCAGTTGTTTTCTGGGCACTAGTCTACATACCGATCCTTTTCATCAGTCACAGCGTTAATAATATCTGTGTGATGGAATCGGGTGTAATAGCAAATATCAATGACTATTTTTTGACACCATTAGTTTACACAATTAGTCCGTTAACCTTTATTGTTGTGTTCACTTGGAAAACGGTGGAAAATCTTCGTTCAACCTTCATCACCAAGCAATGCAGTAAATTTACTAAACAAATCCGTCGTATGCTCACTCCTCAATTGATCGTTCTTGCGATTTCGGGAATTCCATTTGGTTTACAAAGTGTTTATTTCAATCTCACAAATGATATTCCCAAAGACAATCAACGACAAGCAATCGAACATTTATTCGTGCAAATCAATCGTTTATTCTACCATTGTAATTTCGTTTGTCCGTTTTATATCTATTTCTACATGTCAAGCGAAGTTAGAAAAGTCGTCAAACAACTGATGAGAAAGTTTTTCAAATTCAATTCTATGACAACATTACGAGCAATGGATGGCAACACTCGCACATTCTAAACATAATTGTCTTTATCTTTGACTTTGTCATTTTCTCCTTTCACTCGACATCAAAGGTGCTCGAGTGCGTGAAACAGTCTAAACAATTAAGACAATTTCTATAACTACATTATAGAGAAGGGCGAAGAATTTCTTTTGTGATAAACATAATATGATCAGATTTCTGTGTTTCCTTTTCTTTTTCACAAAAGATTAGAACTCATGCAAACGGCGAGTTTTTTTTCTTTTTCATTGCGGAAATGTCACTCCTATTAATCAGAAAGAGAGAGCGAGCATTTGAAAAAAGTTATTAGCATATTAAATAGTCATCTTTAATTGTATCTTTTTCTGACTGACACAACAGAAGCGAATATGACGAGCAGCTCTTCGACAACAGCGACTATAAACGCTATATCACGTTGGCTCAATTATATTTTGGCTATTCCAATGATTGTTGTAGGTATTCTTGGTGCAACATTAACGATCTTCATCTTTACACGAAAAAGTTCATTTCAACGGAATCCAACGATCATCTATCTCCTAGCCGGAGCGACTATGACAGCGATACATTTACCGACTGTCTACCTTCAAAGTATTCTTGTTGATGGTTTCGGCCTAGGAATCTTCAACACAAATAATCTTGCTTGTCGAGAACATAATTATTTGCTTTACGTGACTACTGTCGTTGCTATATCATTTCCGTGTTGGGCGGCGTTTGATCAATACGCGAGTACATCTCGCGATGCTAATTTTCGTCATCGGTGGAGTTCGATCCGAGTTGTTCGATCTGCAATAATCGGTACAAATCTCTTCTGGTCGATTGTTTATCTTCCAATGCTCGTTTACAGTGGAGTCGAAAATCGAACATGTATCTTGATGAATGTCACCTATCGAAAGTTCAACGATTTTCTTTTAACACCTCTCATTTACACAATCGGTCCATTAACGTTGATAACACTTTTTACTCGAGGAATTTTACTGAACCTCAATAGAACAACTGTACAATCACATCGAGATCATTTGACGCGACAAATCCGCCGTATGCTCATTCCGCAATTGATTTTACTCGCAATGTCAGGAATACCATTTGGTTTACAAAACATGTATTTTAATCTCACAAGTAACGTGGTAAAAAGTAGTTTACATCGAGCGATTGAACATTTGTGCATCCAAATCATTCGTTTATTTTACCATTTTAATTTTGTTTTCACATTCTATATCTACTTGTATATGTCGAGTGAGGTGAGAAAACTTTTTCGACGAATGACGACGAAATTCTCCACTATGGACAGTTCAATTCAAGAAGGAATGGTAATGGAAACGTGTAAAGTCGAGGATTCTACTTACATATGATCGTGTTTCGTCAAGTATCAGAGAAAAGAAATGTTCTTCAAACTAGAATGTACTCGTCCCAGTTGAAAACCACTGTACTATATTATTAGAAACTTTTTTAAAGACTTTTTATATATGCTGGACATAATCTGGATTATTTATTTTTTTTCTTTGTAAAATAATAGACTCACGCAACACACAACATAATACTATTGGTGACAAGTATAAAAGAGAGATAAGAAAACGAATGAGAAATTCAATTCATGAATACGAAAAACATTGCAAGACTTATTGAGAATATTCCTGACAGAATATTGCCCTTCCCAATCGAACCTTTGTTACAATAATCTGTTGTGCAACAATATTGATAAGAATTCGTTCCATCATCGTTGTTTGCGCCTTCAGTACAAGTTCCTGTTTTGCCGACATATGAACGTAAAATACTGTTCGAGTTAACTGTCGATACGATTTTCTATTTGAAAATAAACTGTAGAATACATCTCTACAAATAGATCGTTTGTTCACCTACCGTACAAGCAACCGCATTGGTAACAGCAGATGTAGCTACTCCACTACCCCAACTTCGAAAGGAAGTACCGCATCCTTCTGAACCTCGACCACATACATAACAACTAATCGCATCGATTTGTTGTTGTAAATCTGAGTATGATCAAACGATAGAATTCGAATTAACCAAGATTAGTCTTACCGAACAAAACTAAACCAAACAGAACAATTGAGACGAGATGCATAACTGTTTTTGGTTCTTGCAAGAACACGACTTTCTAACGATGATGATGATCAAAAGTCAAATGACAGCGTTAGAGAATGTCTGACGTTAATTTATAGTCAGTTATGTTACTAAACGATTGCTGACACGAGACATGATCGGAAAAGTTTGTTGCGTCATATAGACATATTGATTTTTTTTCTTCTATCAATATTTCATTTCAATCCATTAGATTACGATGTCAATCATTGGACATGAAATGTAAAAGAATATCCTTGATGCTGATCAACCGTGCTCTGTTGTGTTTGTATCGCCATCTTTGATATTCCGTATATTATTCGTTATGTGTTAAAGTAAAGGGTCAACATACGGTCATTTTTCACTTTTTTATTTCAACTAAATCGCCAAGAAAGTCAAATATTTCCTCAGCATTTTTAGTGTGTATAAGATTCAAACTTGCAACTCGTACAAATTTTCTGACAGTGCCGTTCTTTGTCTTTAATCATACGAGTTGTTCATGTTGTCAAGGTAAAGATAAAAAAACGACGCACATCATTATTGACCTATCGAACATTTCTTTTCTCGTCAATGAAATTGAGCAGAACGAAAAAAGAAAAGACGCTTCATTGAATATAACATGTTTTATACTCACCCATGTTCATCAACAACTTCGAACGCGTTTTTTTTCTACATTGTCAATTCGAAACTACCGTATGATTGCGCTTTATTAAACCAACATGACAAGCAAACCATCTCCGTTTGGTTTATACAAAACGTTCATTGATGTTTACATGAAAAGTCACCCCGAAGTGGCGAAATTTGTACGCATAAACTCCTGCTGCTTGGTCACTTCTTTCTCTTTTTTTTTGTTACTCTATAGCTGTGTCATTACAATGCACTGGTTGAATGGGATCGAATCAAGCATGATCACGAACTGATTAAATCAAAAATCGAAAGTTATGTGGAAATCTCGAACAAGATTCATGCAGTTCAAAACGAAACTTCAACGAACACTGCTCGAAAACGAACAATTTCATCCGATGATGAAACAGATATTCACGATCCGTTGTACGATCCGAACGCTGTCGTGCCTGTCGAACCAACATTTTCCAAACGTACCGTAACCAAACCTTCAACAGAAGAAGAAGAAGATCCAAGCAAACCGTGGGTGATTCGCGGCCTGGAAAAGGCGAAAGCTCGTATCGACGCTCACCTTGCCAAAATTGAAGCGAAACGTCTCGCCAAACAAAATCGAGTGAAAGCACCTGTTCAAGAAGCACTTGTTGAAGAAATCAAACAAATCTCTGACAATATAGCGAATCTAATTCAAGTGAAAAACATGGGCTTATCAACGGAGGAAACCAATCATACATTGAAGAAATTAATTCGACAGAAAAAAGAACGTTCGACTGAGTTGAGTCTTCTACGTTCGAAACAAAGAGCTGGCTTACGTTATCGTCAACGGCGAAAGAAACGTCTGGAGAGTTTATGTAATACCGATCCTGAAGTGGCAACTGAGCTTTTGAAACTCTATAAAGCATCGACGATCTCAGTGCATTCGATTGATAACGTTTCATCGGACTTATTACAAACTTTGGAAGAAATCGCGCGAATCGGTGGAGTATCAGATCAAACTCCTGGTAATACACCTCAACTGTGCACAACACTAGACGAGTTACGAGATAAGATTCGAACACGAAGTTATGAAATTCGACGATCGTCAACTTATTATCGGTAAGAGGAAACATTCGAACAGTATCTGTTAGGTTTCTATGGATGTAACATTTTCTAGTTTGATTCCCTCTGGTGCTTTTTCCGAAGATGGAAAAAAACATGTTATTTCAACTGCTGTTCGTCTACGACAACTCGAAGGCATCGAATTAACGAAACATCCAGGTAACGAAATCCACTACATTTCCTCAATTTCATCTTCTTCTTCAGATTATCATTTTGTTTGTGCAACATTGAAGCATATCAAAGATCTAGCAGCAACATTTGGAAATGATTGCGTGTTTTATCTTATTCAAGACAACAAAGCATCTGTACGAATCGGTCGACCGGCAGCAAGAGGGCAATCGCCGTTGATCTTGCATTTAGATTATCAGATGAGTACAGTTAATTCAACACCAATACCGCATACAATTCCACATCAATTAAAACCCACGTATGTACGAATAGGAAATTTTGTTCAAGTTGAATTTTCTTGTTTAGAGTTTACGCTTCGTGTATTATCGATGAAGTCGGTGTTGTCACTGATGCTGGTCCTACTTATGTGTCAATTCGTTCAGCTAAACATGATCGAATGAGCATCAATTGTGAAGAAGTCGATTTCGAACAGGTCGTCAAACTGAAAGAATTCGAAAAAACAGCTCGAAATCATATCGGTGAAGTGAAACCAATTATCATCATGAACGTGGACAACATTGATCCGATGAATTACACACGTTTTTCCAGAACTCTTTATTCATCAATACAAAAGTTCAAAAAGTACAACTTAGATGTATTCATCCTTGTTACACAAACACCAGGTCAGGCTATATTCGCTGGTTGCGAACGACGTCTAGCACTTCTGTCACACGATTTATCAGGTTTAGTTTTACCGCACAACCATTATGGTACACATTTGAATATTAGCGGTATAACGGTCGATGCTGAACTGGAAAAGATGAACTTTAAACGAACCGGTGACGTTCTTGCTGAAATTTGGAATATGAATATGATCGACCAACATCCTGTAGTCGCAGAATACGTGGATCCACCATCAACAGCGGATGATATGGTTCGATTTATTGATGCACAATTCACTCTAGATTGCATCATTAATCAGTATGTTTCACCTAGAGAAGAAGTTCTGTATTTCTTTTTTCTATTTCTTAAAGAATCTGTGATGAAGACGAAGAAGTTCCACTACATCAGCGTATTACACGTTCGCGACCAGCTGTTTACCCTGAGACAATTGCAGATACCAAACCTAATCCAATCTACAATATTGACGAGTAAGTTCCATTGACGATATGTGAAATTGTATTGATGGTTGACTTTATTTAGATATTGGTGTGCCACGCATGTTTTTCAAACGCAATATACGATTCAAATCATTCGTTGTACCAAACCAGAATGTTGTGGTCCATGGCGTTCGAATTACATTGAAGTATTTCCTCATCGATTTCTTCCACCGCCTGTACCGTTTCATCGTTCATCACGTGGCGTTCGTTTAGCTGGAATCGAAACATCGTTTGCTGATCAAAAATGTACATCACCTTATTACGGAACGTTATTTCAACGCATACAATTTCATGGTATCGTCGTTCGAGGAACAGAAAAACCTCTGTTACCATTCGATGCTTTCTGTCCATCGATTCAAACTAAACTTCAATCGCGTACGTGTACGATTTGCAAACAATACATTCCGTCAGTAATACGTTTACGCAATCATTATCGTGTACATCAACAACGTTACGGATTGAAGTATACGGATTTGAAGAGTAAAGACGACGAACTTTTCGATACTGATGACGATATTGTTGATCCAAATGATTTGCCAATCGCACAAATGAATATGAGTCTGAATGGCGTTTGTCTTTTTCCGGATATGAAAGATTGGTTACGATCCGATTTTGAAGAAAATCCAGTCGTCGAACCGAAACCAAAATCGACCGCGGCGAATGCCTCGGCGGCGATTCGTAGAGAAAAACAACTAGAAGCTGAAGCGGCAGCAGCTATTGCAGATAGTTCATCAATTGTCGAAAAGTATAAAAATGACTCAAAAACGACAATTTTAGTTGAAAATACTCTTCCGACCAACGATAATGAAGCTGTAACAGAAATAAAAGTTGAGAGTGAAGATGTTTCTGATGCAATTCAACAATTAAATATGATTGATGACAACATTAGTGATAGTTACGACGATCTTAGTGATCTTATTGAAAAAATTTAATTCTCTTTTCATTTTTAGCCTTCGTAGTCGATTGTTATTCAGTGTGAATGAACATGTTTTTAGCAATATATAAATAAAATAATGAAAATCGTGATCACAGATTGAAATTACACATCGTAATTGTATTTAGCGAAGAGCGGTGTGGAATATTATTCCAAATAGTTTCTTTTGGTTACTTCTTTTTATTGTTATTGATTTGAGTGTCGATAGATAAACGAAGTTTGCAAATCGATTCCTGAAGATGCAGTGAAACCAGTACTTGGACCATAGACGAAAACGGTGCATTTGGAACAGAAGCAAACCGAGCAGGTGGTGCATTAGGAGTATAAAAGTCTCAAATGTGCCTGGAGCGAAGAGAGATGAGACTAGATTTTGTTTTGGATTTTCATGAGTCAATTTTTTGTGACGACGTCATGATCAATTTGATTGTATTTCAGGTTTGTTTTCTGCTGATGATTGTGTCAAACTTGATGGACTGACATTCGATTGTTTAGTTGATCGTGTTCCTAGAACGCAAGAAGAATCATTACTCTGCGATGCATCTTTTATTTATAATAAGAGAAATTTTTATTTCTATAAAATAGAAAATTTCAACTGACTTTTGTTCAACGATGTGGATACTGTGGCAAGTTCTTTGACGGACAGTGGTGCGTTAAGGATAATAAAGGTCTTCGTAAATAAATTCAGACTTGTGTTTCTATATTAGTTAGTCGTTTTTTCAATAGTCTATCCTAGTTTGTTCTTTTTGATAATCAACGAATTGCTATTTATTTTCTTCGACTAATTTATTGATTTCTTGGCTCTTATTCACATAGACATCGTCAATTAATGTATACATGCCAAATTTCCATCGTTCAAGTTCATCAAGTGACAGTTTGATGAAGTTTTTCCAGCAATGTATTCGTTTCATTCGTTAGGAGGTCAATCCGCGTCTTAACAGTTTCAATATGTTCACTAAGACAACGAATACACCTGCTGATATTGCAGTAAAAGCAGGACCTTCATAGTAACATTGATAAGACTGTACTAGGGGAGATAAAAATTTTACATTTCACATTCTGTCAATCAACAACATTGACTCTTGGAGTATTTGTATCAAACTAGAAAATGTATTAGAAAAAGATTCCAAGCAATTAACTTATCGCATTTTCTTATTCGTTTCCAAGTGTAGTCATGGTAATTTCTATTTCGATGAGTTTCTCGATGCTTCCACAAAAGTAATCTTCGAACAATCAGACATACTTCTGGTGATGCGTACCACTTGATATGACACGCAATAATATAGTTTGTGACGATTTCTGGCGGAAGAGAGAAAAATAAGCGGATGGAAATACGCCTTCGTTTATTTCTTTCTCGCGAAGACCGCATCGGTTCTACAATACATCAGATTAGTGTGAGATAAAAAAGGATTCCCAGATCAAATAACAATCGAAAGGTTATACAAGGACAAACTAGAATGTATTTGTCAGGATTGTCGTATAGTTTAGATAGAGAATCAAACGAACAATTTATCAGTCAAACTTTCAAAAGTCGTATGCAGTGCATTTTCTGACGGCATGTATATCTAATTTGTAACGAATGTAATTCTTGCTGGGAATGACATGAATCGGTTAATCAGAAAATGAATAATTTCAATTATTACAGTCGTTCATTTACTGAGAATCATTCTTTTGGCCTTTGCACTATGTTTTTGTCTAATCTATTTGATCATCATCACAATATATACTTTTTATTTTGTAAGAAGAATAATTGTTGTAACATAGATGATTGAATTATACTTCATATGAATTCGTCTACTATTGTTACATTCTAGCACAACATTAATCATTCTTGGTGTTCTTTGTATAGTCAGACAAAGGTTTATAACGACGAAAAAATAGGCTTTTTATTAAGTGAATATATACGCATACGAAATACGAAATGCAAGTCAATTTTCACGGGTTAAAGAGAGAACACAGACAAGATTGTCATCAGTTAGTTATTTGTCTTCTCACCTGCTGGATGAATAAATTGAGAAACATTTCAGACATCAACTATCCACAATAATTTAAGATACAACACGAGAAGAAGAAGAAGAAGAAGAGAGAGAAAAAAGGCACTAAATCGACAAAATTAAAAAATATATATATATCGAGTTTTTCACGAGCAAAACCATTGATTGCCATCTTGCGCAGTTTATTATTGAGAATAGGTTCATATCTGACACTACGCAAAGTGCATACTCATTCATTTTTTCTACTTGATTCTACACTGAGAAAGTTTTTTGTTGGGAATGTCAATGTTAGCGACGATGCTAAAAATAGAATTTATTGGTAAATTTCATACGAATGGAAAATCCTGATTTTTCAACCTGTTGATGATTTTTTAGTGAAACCATTCTCTTTTGCATATTGTTCCCATTTTTCATCGTCTTCAGCTAATGTTAACCAACGTTCACAAGAACTCGATTCTTCCAATTTACGTAAATCACAATACAGTTGATAATCCTACGGAAAATCAAAGAAGAAAACATTCAGTTCACTGTCTTCTATTAGTGCACACACTTCAAAAAACGCATGCCGTAATGTATTAGCAGCTGCAAGTCGGTGTCCGGCATTAACTTGAAGCAAATGATGTGAGATAAGATCAATAGCTAAAACCAAAATGCCGTGCTTATTAAACATGCAAGTTAAAAGATCAAAGGATAAAAAAAGAAGGGAATATGTCTCTCTCTCTATCTGTGTGTCATGCAAAAGATGTTCACCTGAAGCCAAGGTTGAAGGAAAACCTTATTTATCACTATTCGTCTTCTTCGATCAATTTCTAATAGACTTTGTAAGAAATTTAACGCTAGAAGAGATTGTTCTGACAAACGAGAGTGATGAGATCGATGATTTCGTACCTTCTTTCGAAATTTCCTGCCAAGGATTGACTGGAAACATAAAATTCGCATTACGAATTTGCTAAAACGAGAAGGAAATGTTTAGAAAATCAAAACACAAACAACCATTACATCTTCGATTTCTTCGTCTTCATTGAACGGAAATGTTCCACTGAGACTAAACAAAGACCTTCAATCGACTTCCTTCTAGAAACAAAAAAACTCACGATACGTAAATTATGACGCCACATGACCACATATCTAACGACCGATTGTATCCTCTTTCCAAGCGTATTTCTGGCTTTAACGCTTCTGGTGCTGAAAAATGAACGTACTAGTTATGATATGCATTTGAACATGATGAGAAACTCATACGTAAATAAGCTGGTGTGCCAACAATCGATCGTCGGAAGGATTTCTCTCCGATAATACGTGCAAAACCAAAATCACATAATTTCGTCTGAGGAAAGTCTTGTACTTGTGCAAGAAGAACTAGAAAATAAGAATATTGCCCATGGAAAACTTCAATTCCATTTCCAACGAACCATTTTCAGGTTTTAAATCACAATGGACTATTGATTTACTATGTAAATATCTCAGAGCAACAAGCACCTAGAAATATTCAATGGATGCAAACAGATCAAAAGAAGAAAGTCAGAATTTACTTGATAAATTAGAAATTTTGTTTGACGTTCATTAAGACGTTTTATTGGTTGACTTAAGATCATTTCCAACATATCCGAATGTAATTTTTCCATCACTAAATAAAACTAGCACATCCGAAGAAGTTTCCTGTGAAAGTATTCTCATATTTGTTTTACTTTTCCAGGTGTGTCAAACATTGCGTGCAATTTGATCACACCAGGGTGAGCGATCTCATGTAAAATATCGACCTCGCGTTGAATCTTTTCTTCTTGTTCACTAAATCGTGTTTTATCAATAACTTTGATCGCGACTTGTTCATTTGTTTCGATTGAGTGACCTAACAAAGATATTTCGAGTCTTTTCTTCCGGTAAAATCACACCAACGTACCTCCATAGACAGTTCCGAATTGTCCACTGCCAAGTACTTCAATCGGATTAATTTTAAACAGTTCACTTATATCTCGATTTTGTGATTTCGATGTCAATATTGTAAACGCACTTTTCACATCATTACCCTCGTTGCTGTAAGCTAATAACGCTTGACGAATTTGTGTATATGCATTTCTGGCTTGCTGCGATGAATGTGAAATATCGTATTTCTATTTAAAAAAATACAGGAAAATCTTTTATGGATCAATATGACCTAGATGATGAACTTTACTCGACTGCGCGTACGTTTGTATCCACATAAGTAAATATTTTGATCGGTACGGAGTTCAAAGTAATGAAACCTTTCCTGGCTGGTATTCAATTGTAACACAATTTTTTCTAGCGGAATCTCTCGAGAGAATTTATTAGTCGTTTCATTTTGATACATCGTTATTGATCTAAAGAAGAAAGTAAGAAATGGCTCGATCAAACCTGTCGATTTCGACATACGATGCATCAACGCGCCAGTAATATCGTTTTTCTGTTAATGGCTCTTTCTCGATCGTATACACCATCCATCCTTCCCAAAACAAAGCTTCGCCGCTGGCTTTTTTCACGCGTTTGATACTTTGAATAAGACGTTGAGCACGAATATTTCCATGACGAGAAAATAACGACGACGTTGTCGAGGTACATTCAATATCATCATCATCATTGTCAGCAATATTCATCGGTAATGGCGACAAATCACGATACCGTCCGCTGATCGCCAGATCATCCGTTGTTTCGCGTGAAACATTATCATCGTCATCATCTAGTTCGATGTATCGCGAATAAAACATTCTTTCTCTTTCTCCTTTTCATCTTACCTCCCGACGTATGATGCATTAACATGCCTGGACAGTTTTTTGTCGCTTTCGGGATGCATTTTTTATGCACACTCATTTTACAATCTAAAAATGACTTGTCTGTCGGAATCAAGAACAAGATGACTAGTCGTACCTTTACAACGATAACCTTGTTTAACTAGACCTTTCAATAATCGCTTGCATATATGACATTTTGTTGGTGAGCGATAACTGTGGACGTAAAAACAATGCGGCAAGACGGCTGGTAGATCGGCACCGCTTAATGTTAATCGTTTCCGGAAATCGTTCGAATCCTATTAGACATAGAAAAAGAATTCGATTAGTTAGGCGAGAAAGACGAGAGAAGAGGAGAAAAGGCACAGACAACAATTCAGGTAAACTCTTGTTGACAGTAATAGAAAGAGAAATATGTATTAAAGGTTGATGTTTTGTAAATGTCATCTTCCGGAACTGATTATCTCTTCATCGAGCGTATGCATATCTCGCAATTGTCTGATTAACTTAGATTATTTCGAGTGAATCTACGTCTGAGAAATGTGAGAGTATGAAGTTGACAGTTGTCGACTCTAATAGAGATGAAGAGTAATTTGAAGAAATTAACATGAAACGGATCGCAAGGAAACCTAACAAATTCGAAGTACTATAGGCAGTGTCGTCAATTTTTCAAAAGCTTCTTCGCATACATCATCGTGTGTCAATGCAATATCGGACATTTTTCTTGCCATCGAGGAACAGTTGTCTCGAAGATCAGATACGCATCGTTTGTGAAAATTTCGACCACAACCTATCACAAAATCCGAATACCAGAAAATAATTTCATACAAACAAAAAAGAGCAACTTACCTTCACATTTCATTCCTTGTTTGTACAGACCGAACAGGAATTGTCCACATAGGTCACAGAATGTCGGTGACAAATATGTGTGTAAACTAAGCACATGAGGTACTGGATGTGGATAGTCATTCATGATATACGCTAAAAAAAAAGAAAGAATCAGTTGATCTATCAATGTTTTTCTATTCTATTCAGATGAAGATGGATCACTCGGTTAATCAAATTTGACTTAGAAAAGAAAAGAAAACAAAAGCATGAAGTTGGGCGAAAAAAAATCTGAAGTTGATTATTAAGCACGTAATCAGCACATTGAATAAACGAACAGAATCATCAACAGTCAGAAGAAACACTTACAAAAGAAAGCTGATCTGTAGTTTTTTTTTCTTCTCCTCTCTCTTTCTCGTTTTCTATCGTTCGTCGAACGAGAAAGTCGCCTGAAATCAACACATCAAAGAATGGTTCGCTTGCTCTATTCGACAAATGCGCGCTTATCAAATTGTTGATCTGTACTCTCGTCGTACCCATAAACGAGCGACGAGCGTTTATAGTTCTTTTTTCCGTCTATTATTTGTTGTTAGTCAATACTGTTGATAATACTAAAGCAGAAGATAGTTGTCGAAATGCCAACAAATACGTAAATACACGTTTTTCTTCTGTTACTTATTATGCTTTCGGCTCTCCTGGATGACGGATAGTCGACAGCAAGTGCGTTCTCGTTGTCATTGCCGACATCAGTTATATTAGCACGTGCATAGATGTAAGACGAGAGAAGAACGTGCGAAAAGCATCCGTTATGATTATTAGCGGCATTGAATGACAGAGAACAAAACATAAATCACATTAATTCATCAACGAACACATTTCAATCAATTCAGATTGAAAGGAAAACAGTGCTCTATTACCTTACAATGAAGACGTTTCTTTCTCGAGACCACCTCCCTGCGGAATATGACTTCACACAATATCGACTAGTGATGATTAAAAAAAAAAGTAAAAAAGAAAGAGAAAAAAAAAGCAAACTTTAGTTTATTAATGTAATATCAATAATGAGCAGTCATGCGCATACTAGTATTAGATGTTTCGCCAGAAAAAAAGTAAAATAGGTGCCTTCGTCAAGTAGGTCGTATACTCATTTGTTTAGCATCCGTTTTTTCCAAATAAGAAAAAGAGAATGCGAAGCATATAAACTATTTGTATTAATTTCATCGAAGGGAAGAAAAAAAAAAAAGAAATCTACTATTCCTAAACTATGAAATTTCTCTGGAGAATAATATTCTTAGTTTATTATTCGCCAAATGATAATAACAACAATGTTTCTCTCCTGGGTTGTTAACTTGATTAGATTAGTTTGCTTGAAGTTTGTCTTGTTTTACTTACGAGATATGATGACTTCGACAATCGTATTTGCAAGACGAATATCGTTCAGATTTAGCGGAATCAACATCTGATACGATAACGGTTCGTATCGATAGAGTAAAATTCGATTGTGAAACAGTCTGATGTCTTGATCTGGACACTTGAAATACACGGAAGAGATGCGAACAAATAGACAAACAAAAACGAGATGATTACCATAGTTTGAATGAATCGAATGGCTACTACATGTAGTGTTTTCATCGAAAGATTCTGTTCAGATGTTGTCAGTGTGACTTTTTGGTGAAAAACACCGAATTTTATTTGGAATGAATAGATTTTCGTATGTGATTCGGATGATGACATGCCATGGAAATGTTTACATTTGTATGCAGGTTGATTAACCCAAACGGAAATCCGTCTATGATTAGATAAATCTTCTTTGGCTTGTTTATTGTTCAATAGAAAAAATTTTTCGCACAAAACTTCGGATTGACGTCTGTTGAGAGAAAAATGGAATTTTGTCCGCGAAATTTTTGAAATTAATTCAGCTATTTAGCGACATCTTTGTTTTTCTGTAGGATTGGTCGTTCGACTTGTATTGACTGGAATTACAAACTCTTGCACAAGTCGTCGTCATTTCCTACTGTCATTTCGTCGAATGGAGCTGATTTTTCTCGGTACAGGCTCGAATAATCCAAGTCCACATCGGGGCGCATCGAGTCTTGGTAAGGAAAATATTCATTCATTATTTTATCTCATTAAAAATTGAGCATTTTTTAGCTTTACGTCTGAGTGGCACAAGTAATATTTACCTATTCGATTGCGGTGAAGGTACACAAATACAAATTCAACGTTCCTCATTACGAGCATCGCGTATAACAAAAATCTTCCTCACGCATTTGCACGGTGATCATCTCTTTGGCTTACCGGGGTTCTTATGTACACTCTCATCAGTTGCACTGCCAGCAACTGTGATGATCTACGGTCCACTCGGTTTGCGAGAGTTCATTGAAACTACTTTAAGATTATCTCACTCTTGGTTATCGTTTAAATATGAAATCGTTGAACTGATTCCGAATTCATATGACGGTGTTGATGAAAACCTAATCAAGGCAACATTGGATAAGCAGGTGAAGGACGAACGATGTCGAACAGTAACCATCAGTGAAGATGGAAGATATCATCTAGCAAGTGATGAAGATAACTGTTCCGTTTATGCCGTTTCCATCAAACATCGAGTACCGACTTACGGGTATGATTGAAATGTGCGCATTCGATACAATGTTGAACGAGTCGATTGAAATTTAGATATGTCATTGTAGAAAATGATCTTCCAGGAAAGTTCGATATTCAAAAACTACAGCAGTCAGGTATTAAACCAGGCCCATTCTGTTCTCGTTTGAAAGCCGGTGAAACGGTTACACTTGATGATGGCCGAGTACTTTCACCCTTGGATTACGTTGGCCCGTCACGACCTGGTCGTCGTTTAGTTATTCTTGGTGATTGCTGCGATGCATCGAATGTCATTCCATTTGCACAAAACTGTGATGTTCTTGTTCATGAATGTACACATGATAATACTTTACAGGAAAAAGCAATTGAATTCGGCCATTCGACGCCTTCCATGGCGACATCCATTGCCGAGAAATGCAAAGCGAAATGCTTGTTGCTGAACCATTTTAGTCAACGTTACAGACCGAAATCGTTAGAAGATAAAGAAAACGTCGTGAAAAAGCCGAAAAAAGAAAGAAACGATGAGAAGGAAAAAGAAGAGGATGATGATGATGACGAAGACGTAACTGTGGATCTCCTATTGGAACAAGCGAAACAGTCGACAAGCAAACCTGTTTTTGTGGCTGATGATTTTTTCACTTATACTATTCCGACTGCGAAATAAATCGATTTTCAGGACATTTTTCTATTCTAGATGGATACTGATGGTACACTACCGTTTGTTGTCAATCTGCCTCCTAAAGACCGGTTCGAACCGACGACTGTCATCGGAAAACTTGAACCGAATCAACGTCAGATAAGCTTGGTAGTTATTGTTCTACGTATTCAAGCAAATCCGCAAAAAACGCGTGAAGGACATGAAATTCATTCATTCAAAGTGGCAGATCGCACGGGCTCTGTGACACTTAATGTTTGGAATACAGCCGGACAATTGATATCACCAGGAGACATTCTCCGCTTACAAAATTGCATCACACAAGTCTTCAAAAATGAATTATGCGTCAAGCCAGGACGAAGTAAGATAAGTTATTACTTCTAACTTAGACGTCTTCTCTTCTTTCAGGTGGAATCATTACAAAAATCGATGAATTTACTATGGATTTCAAAGAAGACCCTGATATGAGCGTATTCACTCCATCTATGGAACCAATGAACAACACGAATAAACGACCAGTGCAATTAATGTCTTGATCTTTCTCTTCATTTTTGTACAAATCTTTGAATAAAAGTTTCTGTTAGAATATGAATTTCTCTTTGCCAGTCAATTAAAAAATGTTATAGATAATGTATAGAACTGAAAAGAATGTTAATCAGCTTGTATAATCACGTTTTCCGTTCGAAACTTCTTCCGAAAGCATCTGAAGTCCTTCGTTGTCACATTCAACAACGCAACTATCCGCCATGGACATCTTATTTTATCTCTCAATTCGATTGTCTTAACGATCAGTTCGGTCAAACTCATTTCGAATTTGATATCGACGGACACAATTATCATATCTTAAGAACCGGTAATTATTTCTCTTTTCTTTCGTTTCACAAAGACTTCTGTCATTTCAGGTTGTTTTCCTTATATTAAATATCATTGCACTCAACGGCCCAAAGCGTTCGATTTGTCCTCGGAAAATCGTCTTTATACGTTTTTCAAGGTACTTAATTTAGGTTTGCCAACATTGATGTACGGTTTGGCAGCTATATTTCTTATTCGTCATTATGAAATAGTTAATACAAAACAACATGGTTCTGTAAAAATCTATTTTCTTCTCAAAGAAGATTCTGGTGCTTCGTTTTGATTATTTGACACCATGAGAGAAGATCACAATGATTCCTGGTTCAACGACTAGAAAAGAAAAATAAAAGTTAGTTTCAACAAACGAATCGAATTTCTTGTTACGCATAATGTCATCCATATGCCGATTGTCACAACTGAGAACAACAACTGCTTGCTGACCAACGATACGCCGACACACGTAACTTTCGTAATGTCGTCGATTTAACTGACGAGTTTCTAGAAACGACAAATTCTATTCGAAATTTCGCCATTTTTCGATTGAGATTTACCGAGTGTTGAAAGTCCTTCGGGCCAATGACGTTCATGTGCATTCTCCATCAATTCGTTTGTTACATCAAGTGGACAGCCACTTTCAAGTAATGCATGTTTGATTGTATCTTGTAAGACGATGTCAGGAGTTGATATCATTCCACCCCAATGGGTTACACGGGCTAATTCTAACCTACCAGACCAACTAAAATCAAATAATGTATCCGCGTTTCCGTATGCATGCTTGTATTTCATACCGTAAGATTTCGTTGTTTTCCACACGTTCTAAACAACATGCTATTGATGGATTCGTTGTACAGATGGTACGAATAAACTCCTGAAAGTATGAACGAAGAGTTAGCAAGCAGCGCGAAGCGAATGAATTACTTGGAGTGTTCGGACTTCGTTCTTGTAAAATTCAACGTCACTTTTATATTTCTGTAAATCATATTTGGCATTGTTCAATTCATTTCGTAACACCTGAATACAATTGTGATTCTATTTGATACAGAAACTAAGTCGATATCCTCTGAAGCAAAACAGAAATCAAATCTCACGATGTGATCATCTTTGAGTAACATGATTCCACAACCATTTTCACAAGAAATTAACTTTTTTGGACTATATTCACATTGATTTAGATGATTAGTTAGATGATCTAATTTAATTTTTCTTGAGCAACCTTCATTTTCACATGTAATATCCAAACTAAAATTATCGGAGAAGAGAACAAGCTTTCGATCTAATCACGCCTGTGTCATCTGTTTTTCGTAGATAAATATTCTCAACTCGCGATAAGATAAAGATAGTCAGATGAGTGTCCGTAATCACCAAGTACTTTGATCCTCAATGAGAAACTAACCGATTGAGTAAAGTTTTCAGTATACGCGGCACAGGCTTTAACTGATCGAGCTCTAACGGTGTTCGATCGATGGGACAGGTTTCTGATCTTGATAACCATTCTTGAATACAAACCTAAAACGAACACAGAGATTCAGGACGGAAATAAGCTTTTCTTGCGTATCATACTTGACAAAACGTATGTTCACACGAGGGTGCTTGAAGCGGATCTTGTAAAACACCACCACATATCGAACCTGAAGAGATGCGAATCAAGAGAATGTTTGCGTGTGAATGAAAACGGGAAATTTTACAAATCAATTCTTCATCGATACCATTGGAAAATCGTTGTATATCGAAGCCCATCGATGATTTCCAAAATCGATGTGGAAAATATATCAGCACATTTCTAATAAACTGAAACAAACGTAGATTAAGGGGAGTAAAGCGCGCTATTGTCCTTGCAACGATTGATAAGCTTTCGTATGAGAATATTTTCTTTCTGTTTGAGACACTGAGTATATATTCACTCGTCGATCAACTTTATCGTATGGTGGAGAAAAATGACCAGTTATATCGAATACATCGACATCTATATGCAACGTTTCAATGATGAATAATAAGGCAAACGAAATCAGACAATTAGATGAGCTGAAGGAAAATATTGACTTTGTAAGCAAAATAATAAAAAAAAACGTATCCACTATTTGACATAGCTAGCGTATCCACTAGACGTGAGTTAACAATATTCATTCGTCTCAAAATCATGTGAAAATTGAACGTGCTATTCATTGATTTACTATTCCTAGAGAGTTGATATACGAATTCGACACCTGACTATCGATTTACTCAACGTGCTCATCATTAGCAGAAAACGAATATACACGTGCGAAGAAATCAGATGAATTCTTATGTCGCTAAACAAGATGTCATCCATTATTGATATTGTAATTGAAGTATTTCTCTTTAGCTTGAGTCAGAAAACGAATGCAGAATGTTAATTATCTTTGTACTTTCTTTTCGGTGTCATTCTGACGCCGTGAATAAGATAAGCTTAGCTCGAGGCATCAAATCGTGTCGTGTGTCTCGCAATATCTTTTTTGAAGTGGAATGGTGAGTATGGCATTCAGGTGGGAAGAAGAGGAAAGAATCTATGAGAAAAGAAACTATCGGCTTAAAGACCACCTAGCGATTGTTACTGTTTGCATTATTCAAAAAAGAGGGGAAAATGTAATCTAACTCATTCTCGATCGAAGATCAGAATCCCGACTAATCGGCTTATGATACAAACTAGAATATAGAAGCAGCAACGTTCTTTACTGGTGCAATCAGCAGGAAGAAAAAGAACGTTTTTCTTCTTCTCCTTTACTCTACATTGAAGATATGATCTGATCTTTTGTGTACCCATGAATAAATAGATTGTGATGTGTGCTTTTCCTTGAAACACGAATAATAGCATCCAATGTGATCTTCTCTCGAGCAGTATGTTGCTAGAAGAGCAATATTCAGTCTCAGACTTGAGCTAATCCATTCCATTCTCTTTTGCTTTAATAATATACACAAAAGACGAACTAATTGATGTCAAGAAAGAGAGAAGCAAGAATGACAAAATGAAGCTTTTTCCTTGATTGACTTTTCATATAGTTCCATATGATTTTATTGACAAATAGGCTAAGCTTTCTACCAACGAGTATATGTCAACATCATTACATCCAATTAAATACCTTTTTTTCTCATTTATTTAACAGCTTTTTCTCTCGCTCTTTTTTTTTCTACACTGTTCGCTTACAAACACAACATTAATTGAAAATTTTAAAGTTTTGATGATGATGATGATGATGATGAGCGTTGGTCCATCCATTGATAAATTCTTCACTTGGGCGGCCATACATTCCTGTTGGTTGAAGAAAATCCATTTCTTGACTTCGATAACTACTGCCGTACATTGCCGGGTTGGCTGCTGCTGGATCATTACTATAAAAAAGGGCTTGGTTTGGACTATACGATGTCGGATAAATATGATGATGATAAGCAGCAGCTTGTGATGACCAAGCTGCTAAAGATGCGGCTGCAGCTGCAGATGCTGTTGAATTATCTGAACTTGTTCCACCGTTAGTTGACGGTGATGAGTGACGATTGAGACGAAGCGACGGACTTTTCGCCTCTCGTTTGCAAGGTGAGATATCATTTTTGTCATGTAGACTACTATTAGACGATGACGACGGTTTCTTGGTAGCCTTGTCTTGTTGCCGGCATTTAGCACGACGATTTTTAAACCAAACCTACAAAAGAAACCTGTATGAATGGTCGTGAAAAGGTGAACGAGGACTGTTTTACTTGTATTCTCGATTCGGGTAAATTGATTTTCATTGCAACTTCTTCGCGCATGAATATGTCGGGATACCGTGTTCGGTCGAAGAGGGTTTCTAACTGATCGAGTTGGGCACGAGAGAATGTCGTTCGTTCACGCCGTTGTTTTCGTTGTGATGAACCATTGTATGCTAAACTTGAATGTTGACTAAAACCAAAGGAGAATGGATCTGTATATCCAAATTTCAGTGTCGACGGTTCGTTGGTCATTGAGGCATAGTTCGTATAGTAATCACCTAATGGTGACGAGGTATATTTGGTTGGACTATTTACAGAAGCCACTTTTTGAAGAATCAGTTCGAATTTGAAATAGATTAGAATTGCTGATGAAAAAAATTCATCGAACACCAAGCAAAAAGAGAAATGAGTACGTCACGCGATGATCGTTAGTCGATGTTGATTGACAACCGGTATGTATATGAGAATAGGATGACTTTTTTTCTCTTCTTCTTCTTCTTCTTTTTCTTCGCGGTTCTCTCTATCCAATGAGATTTTTCAGAGAGAAAGAAAAAGAAGATGAGAAGATGTGAACCAATTGAAATAAAGGATTAGAAGCAAACCAATGAGATTGAGAAGACGAGTGCATGATTTTGTTCGGGAAGTGTGAAAAGAACAGAATTCTGGAAAAGAAAAGAGTCTGTTTACACCTTAATCTACCTCGATGTTACATTGACTGCCTATTAAAAAAAACTAAATCCACACTTGTTTCTAATAGTCTCTTTCCTTTCTCTCAATTGATAGCTTGAGATGACGGATTAGTGTACAGTGTGAAGTTATGCACGAATATGTAACTTGTTATGACGCCAGCATCATCATTAAACGAAAAATTGAAAAGCATTGCTTGAGGCAGTTTGTTTTTGCTTGAAATTGAAAAAATATTCAATCCTTTGGTCATCGTCGTCGTCTTCTTCTTCTTCGTTCTATTTGATTTTACTCATCAAATGAGATGCACAAAAGAAGAAAGATAATCTGCAGACATTCTCACATACCACGAATATAAATACGTTTGATCATCTCGAGACATATGTTGTTTACTCGCATTTCTAATATGCTTTACTTTCTCGATTTTAATCATATATGCGTACAGATTGATGAAGAAAGAAGAAAAATGGCAATTAATTAATGTTCCGTTTTTCTTGAAAATGTGCGTGACAATCGCATACACACGTCAATCATATACTTGTCATCGACATGAACGTCTCTCAACGCTCATTAATGAACATCAATTGCATAGTTAAAAATAACATATCCTCTCTCTTTGGGATTAAAATCTGCTACCACTATCTAATCGGTTTCAAGTACGGACACCGACTTTTTCTCATGAACTAAGCAGGTTCGACAACTACGAAATCGTGCGAAAGGAAAGATTCAGATGATTTGAAAACTAGCCGAGTAAATTGCATGTCTTAACTGACATGTTTGGCGGTTTATTTCACGAAAACATATTTGAGAAAAAAAACGAGCCAACAACATGAAGTTTGTTCATGTGAACAATTTTTCAATATTTTGTTTTAAACTTTGTATTTGTGGTTTTAATTGTGAACCTTCATTAACTGTAATACTTGCACTAATAACTGGCCGCGTCACCCCACAGGCACGACCAAGAGCTTGTTTACTACGTACGAATACGTATGGAACGTTTTTATCTTCACATAACAATGGCAGATGCATCAAGATTTCGATCGGAGTTGTATCAGCGGCCATGACTGAAAGAAAAAATTTTGATGGAGATGGCTAAGTTATACGGATGATACTTACTGATCAGTTCAGATTTTCCACGGTTGAGAGTTTTCGTTGCTTCATTTGCACCCTTACGTAATTGTCGCTAGAGAGATAAATATAAATTTGAGAGCTGGAATGAGAAGAAACCTCTTACGTAATTATGTGCTTGATGAACTAATTCGAGAATGTCCTTAGTAAGCTTCGCATCTGCTAATGGATAAGCTTTTGGATTAACATCACCTTCAGCTGACATGATTTTTCGAAAATCTAGAAAGAAAAGAAAAGAAGCTGTATTTTTTTAAAAATTTTATTGAGATGATAAATCTTGATTGTTTTTAGGGGTATCTGTGTCATTAGGTTTTAGTTTTTTTTTCTTTTTCTTTTTCTTCTTTTTTCGTTTTTTCTTCACAATTTCTTCATCGGTTGAAGATGAAGCTTCACCGCTTTCTTTTGCACTTTTCTCAGATTCTGAATCGTCATCGTCAACAGGTAAATGGAATTCCTCTTCGGCCTTTTCATTCGATTGGTCTTTGTCCGTCGTAATGGCATTTGTATCTGATAATAATGGAATTAGATTTTGACAGCGTGATATTAAATCACTTCCATCCATGCGAACTGTTGAGGAGACTGGTCGTTCGATGATTTTCTGCTGTGTCGATGTATTTTCATCGTTATTTTCATGGTGGTCTTCATCGAAGTAAATGTGTTTGGCGACTGTCAATGAAGGCTTTGATTCACTTGATAGTTCATCCGGAGAATCATCAGTCATTGGAATTGACGATTAGTTTCGAAATAATCTATTTCGTAAAACAAAGAAAAGTTAAGATTTTAAAGGTACTTATAGATGAACCAATCTGAATGTAGAGGAAGAACATAATGCATTAATGCATTAAAAATCAATTTGTGCATTTCGCTCTACATACGCTATTGTAATTGAGTGAATGAACGTCTTTTAGTTATGCTGTTCGCCAAGTAGATGCATTTCACAAGTTAGTTCTTCTATTAGAATATGTTATTCTATAAATATTGACCTACAAGTCATTCATATGGAATTCTTCACAAGATGAATCCTGATTTTATGTACTGTTTTGTCAATGAGAATATCAGACGAAGGCGTCTTTTCACTTGAAGAATGGTTTCACCGATATAGTGAAATGAACTATCACGGAACGACATGCCCTATCCATTTGACACATTCGAGAAACGTTTTCGATGCGGAAATAATGAATGTATCAATCGCTAGTTGATCTGTTGATTTCGATAATGTACTTGTCAAATACGAATAAAGAGAAAGGATTGTTGATATCATTGCCAAAATAACATAGAAAATCATTTGAAGAAATGAGATTTTCATCAGCTGGAATCCAGGTCGACGATGATTGGTGTTCAACGGAAGAGCTCGACTACTCACTGTTGTTGATACGACACTATTCAGCGTAGTTATTTGTATACGTCGATAATTACGAATGTTGTGAATAGTTAAACTAGTAAATACACTAATGATGATAAATGGCATAATGGATGAAACAGTGGTTTGAATAACATAAAATTGTGCGTAAGCAGAATCAATCGGCGCTATACAAGCATGTATTTGCAATTGTTTCATGTCCAGCAAGATCAACGCTCGTGTTAAGCCGACAGTATTGAAGAGAAGAATTTGGACAATTGGCGTTTCAATAAAATAACGTAAACAAATGTTGGAATGTAATACTCGACGAGAGAAAACTACAATATTGATGATATTGCCTAAGATATCAATAACATAAATAGATGTCATGAAATACACCTTGAGTATCTAAAAAGATATTGTGCAAAAGGTTTTCTTAATTAACATGAGCCAAAATATATTTTTTGTCATGTTAATAATGAAATGTAATAGCTTCTCGAGCATGAAATTTTGCCCATTAATATATTTTGATGTTAGCAAAAAGTAAGTGTTATGATTTTGATGAATTATTTATGGTAATGGAAGACATATACGCAGGAATAAGTACTTGATACTATTTGTGAGAACATCTTTAATTAAAATGAACTAAGATTTCGCTAAGGACTGTTTACATAGCTCATCAGGAAAACTGATTCGTGTATGAAAACAACGTCTATTCCTGACGGATTTCATTGTATACTACTTCGTTTCCAATGGTTCAAAACAACCTCACGGAAAGTTTTCATAAAAGTCAAATTCAGGGTGTGGGTGTGACTGCTCCGATATAACGTATTTCTTGACACTAGCTAATTATTTTCATATCAAAAACGAACTATTGCTTTTATTCTACTGAATATCACCAGGTCTATCTTGTTGCTTGTTAATAAATAATGCACGAATGCATAGGCCTTTTAAATACTGTTATAATATTTGTTTGCTGTGATACACTGATTTGAGATAGAATCGTAGAAATTCTTTATCAACACGACTTGAGAAACGTACGTATAAATGTTATTTTTCACAAGGATTACCATTGAAATGCCACGAGATCCGCTAATCTACTTATAAATTCATCAACTATTCCTTTTACACAAGGAAATATATCGTATTAAGGTCACCCTATAGGTTCACTTCAGAACTATTTTGCAATGTTTTGAAACAAAATAATTGACAAGCACATTTTTTTTTGGTTATTTCTCTACTACTCGATACACTTCTACTGCTTCAGTCATAATTTGAACCTATATGCATAAAAATGCGAACTTATTGACATTTTAGTATACGTAGAAAACAAGCGATGAGTGTCAACGAATATATATTGATGCTTAGGGATGAAAAATAAGCAGTGTAAAGGTCTCTTAGCTAGTATTTATTTTGACTACTTTATAGTTAACGACAGCAAGAGCTCATACCAATTCGATGTTCCTCTATGGATATAATCTTCTTTCTTTTTACTAAGTAGATCGATTTGAATCGATGGTTTCGATTAATATCGATCGATGGAAAGCGATATTTATTCCACACGGTGTTGCATATGTTCTCCTATCAGCAGTTATATTCTGTCTGCTAGTTTTGACTTCTATTTATGGAACATTATGGCGACACAAAAGAGATTCGTCACAAATTACGTCATCAAATCATCTGAACACAATTATCGGTTTTCCGCCGCGTTTACCTAATGACAGAGATTATGTTCAATGGACGTTTTTACATATGAACGATGTTTATGAGTTGTTGCCACTGGACAATGGACACAAAGGTGGTTTAGCTCGTGTTGCATATTTACGACAAATATTACTGGAAGAAAATCCTTCAACATATACCATTCTTGCTGGTGATTTTGTTTCGCCCTCCGCATTGAGTACAGCAAAAGTCAATGGAAGACCTTTGAATGGTAGACAGATGATTGCAACAATGAATTCTCTTGGGATAGACTATGTTACATTTGGTAACCATGAGTTCGATATTACCGAAAACGAGTTATTGTCAAGGATGAACGAATCTAATTTTTCATGGATTAGTTCGAATGTTTTTAAAATTAATAGTAATCAACCAATCGGATCTAGTTTAACTTATAAAATTCTCACGATCAGCGGCGTTCGGATACTTCTCATTGGTTTAACACTCGCTACTCCATCGACCTATGCTCGTTTTACAAACGATTCATCGTTGGTCAACTATACTCGACAATTTCTAGCACAATTTCCTAATGAATCGTATGATGTTCTTGTCGCACTTACTCATTTAGACATCGCTCGCGATATCGAACTCGCTTCAAATATTCCTCAAATCGACTTGATACTCGGCGGACATGAGCATGAAGATGTGTCATATTTACGAGGTCCAAAGTACACACCTATTCATAAAGCAGATGCCAATGCATACACAGTGTTTATTCACCGATGCGTCTACAATATCGATACAAAAAGGTTTCGCGTTTACAGCACACTGGCAAGAGTAACGGATGACATAGCTGAAGAGAAGAAAACTGCAAATGTGGCTAAATATTGGTATAATTTAGGTATTCAAGCATTCACTCGACTGGGATATGTGCCACAAGAAACTATTTCCTGTTTACCAGCAGGTGTTAACCTCGATGGGAGATCAGGAGCTGTTCGATCTTCACAAACTCTTCTATCTGATACAATTTGTGAAAGTATGATGTATGCGATATCGATGAATCGACCAACGATAAGTATATTTAATAGCGGAGCAATACGTATCGATGATATCCTTCGCGATACGATCATCGGCTATGATGTGTTACGTGTATTACCTTTTGTTAATTATCTTTCAATTCTTTCTGTTCCAGGCACAATTCTTTCTGAAGTTTTAAGGTTGTCAATGACGTTGAAAGGAAACGGAATGTTTCTTTCGTACAACGGAATACAGACATCGGATGGGGGTACAACGTGGCTGGTTGATGGCGTCAACGTTGCAACAAGTGGTGTGAATTATACAATTGTAACTATCGACTATGCAAGAGTGAATACTGGATTGAATCATTCAAATGTTTCAGTTGTAAAAACGTTAAATATCACTCAAACAAATGCTTTAATGACTTATTTGAAAATAAAATATCCGCCTTGTTAAAGAAAATGTACAAAATGTTAGTAGTTAGAATTGATTCCCAGTTTTCCAGAAGAAACTACGTCCTTATTACTAATGCTCATTAATAGTTAAAAAAACGGAAAAAGAGAGAAAAATAGCTTGCACTAATGAAGTATTTTTCTCCGACATCAACTTGTTTTTTTTGACTGCGAAACTAATTTATACTATTTATAACCTAGACAATCGTTACAGCTGCGTACATATGAAGAAAGTTTCTGAAACTTTTCTTCTTGAAATAGTACTTCATGATCACATACTATAACGATGAAAATATCAACGATCCAATAGAATACAAGGGTTTCGCGAAGTGAAAAAGGATGTACATGTTTCTATGTTAACCTATGCGTCTGACCTTGATTGAACGAGACAGTAGTCTGTTACAGTTTGATTTTCGCAATTAGATATTATTTTTCTAAAAACTCTCAAAAGATGAGTGAGATACTATAGCCCAGTCCCTCCATGACAGGCATTGCTTAAACTACCAGAACGAATGCGGCGCGTCCTTCAGGTTAAATCTCTACTTGACTAGTTATTGAAATACACGTTTCAGCTAACAAGTATAAATCTCACAAAAAGAGAATATGATATTTTCAATTGATACCAAAACGTATATGTACATCGAAAGGAAATTCATGAAAACAACTAATTATCATTCTCGCCACACTCATGGCACTTTGTTTGTTACACTATTTGCATGATTAGCATATATAGATTGTTCCAGGAATAGTTTCATTCCGTAGAAGACTTGTTGATGGTACACACAATAATACTGAGACGAAAGTTGAGTCAGTTCGTTTGAAATTGCCGGTGAGATCTACATTTCACAATAAGTCTTGAATTATGAAGGTAAAATACGAAAGAGTTGACTGTGATATAGAACCAAAGCATTTATTAATAAGAAATCGTTCATTCGATAAAATCGAGAAGGATCATTGTCTATCCTTCTACTGTGGAAAGAGAGAAGGTAATACCAATGTACAATCTGAGATGAGAACATTTGCTTATTCTCATGAAGAAAAACAACTTAATCACGCGACAAGAGAAGAAGAAAAATGAGAAAAAAAAACCGAGAGTGCTCGTTAGGTACTAATATAGTCCGGAGCTAAAATAGTTCATAGAACGAGGCTAATTATGCAGGTAATCATCTTGTCGAAGGGAAATAATCGAAAGGAACGAATTGAAAAGTTTGGTCAATGAAGTTCAACAGGTATGCATTCATCCTACCCTAAAAAGACAAGAAGAAAATCTTGTGCGAATAGTTCGAAGAGTCACTCGACTTACTATCGTGATACTGGCGAAGTCGATGTCGACCAGTTTCCTCAGGAGATCTGGTTTGACTGTCACAAATCAGGCGACAAGTAGAAAAAGAATGAGAACTATTATTCAAACAGCGTTGGCATGATGCTGCTTGACGGTGTTTGCTCTTTGATCGGTCAAGTAAATCTTGAATAAATGTCTTGGGTTTGTAGAGATCAATCTCAGACGTGGGTTGCTCAGCACTTGGACGAGCTAAGGAGAAGTTGATCCATAGAATCAGGATTACGAAGAGAATCTTCCACATTCGTTAACCGAATATGCGACGAAAGTTGTGTTTGAATAAATGTGGAAATGATCGATTTCTCTTCTGTTTTTATACACACGAACAAGTTTCAAACATACATCTGTGAAGGTAATTACTAATTAGAGTTCTTTCGATGATGCGAACACATATGTTTAATAAGCGTGAATGAGAACGAGAGGAAAGCAAAAGTTGTTATGTTATTTATACTTCATTGTATTTGATAGACTAAGAAAATGAATAAACAAAAGTTGTCTTTGATCAATATCACTGATATGTAGTGTAGAAAACAAAAGATGGCCATCAAGATCGAATTTCGGGTAGTTATTTATACGGTTCCAATGTTATAGTTAACAATCAAGTACAAGTGACATTTGAGGCGGTTATTGTTAATCGACCTGTGCCAACATCCGCTGACATTTGACAGTTTACTATTATCGACAATAGATCACCATGAAAAACATGCATTTGCACTATTTCATTGGGTACACCTTGAAGTGAGACGATAACTGTACTATTGACTGGCTTGATTTCGGTAATACGTTGTCGACTGATGGCTGTCCATTTATTCCATTCACCAAGAACAGCATAATATGTCCGGTCTGGATCGCTCAATTGCATTAAAGGTGACACATACCAAAGGCATATTGATAGATCGCCACAATCGAAAACTGAAACATCTAAAGTATTAACATCTGAAAATGTGTCAACAACATCAGCATTGTCATATGACCAGATGACTCCAGCTTCTGCGCCGATCATCGATGGAGATATCATATAATCTAGCTGCATTGCCGATGCGAATATCGTATGAAATGTTTGGTTACTTCTGAAAATTCAAAAGGGAATCGAATCATAAACACAAGAAAAAGATTTCTATTTACATTGTTGTCCTTGTTGAATAAAGTTCACCCTGTGCAACACCATTGTAGTATGCCCACTCAGATACTAAAGTGTTGATCATTGTCAACGGTCGATCTGGTTTTAATATTAAACCATCTTGTCGACAACATTTCATGATACGCGAACTGTTTGTATAATTAATAGCATCGCCAGGTCCGACAGGTCCTGTAGAGAGCGTGGAGATGAGTATTTCTCAGTCGGGAAGGACTTCTTGCGGTGAATATGGATAGGGCGCACCTGGCTGATCTTTTGTTGACCATAGAACATCTTTAAATGGTGCTAAACCAACCGCATCAGCAAACATACTCGATATTCCAATAGCCCATTGTTGTGCATTTCGAGTCTGTTCCAGATGAAATGCATAATCCGTCGACACTCGTGCATGTGTTACACGTTGAACTTCGAGGGCGGTTAAAGTATGCCGCGGTAAACTCATACAGTATTGAATATTCACTCCGACTTTTTCGGCTGCGTCACCCATCGATGTTAACCATTGATGTCCGAGATGAATATCCGTGAATAATGGAGTAAAATTATACGTTTGCTGATCAAGCCAATCTTGCTCATAAAGAATCAAACCCCAATCGTGTGTTTGAGTAAATAAGTCAAACCAAAATGAATCATTTCCAATTGGTAACGCGATGCCATGAACTTCATCGAGAGCGAAGGAATAATTTTGCTTATAAACCGTATCAAATGCCCAATATCGATTATGTGCGGCGAATGGCATGTTTCCTACTCGACGATGAAGTGCTTGTAGACCATCAGGGAATATCGTTGGCATCGGTGTAAACTGAGTTACGCCACCACCAATATCCTTGTAGTACCACCAAGAATCCAATTGTAGATAATGAAACGGTAGACGAATTTGCTGATAAACATCGATTATCGTTTGTTCATAATTGAGTCCTTTTTCCGTATTGTAGTAATAATAACCGCCATTATCTGTATAATAACCCAGATAGTTAATAGTTAGATCGTTGAGACGATGTTCAGCGGTTCGATTATGTGCCTTTCGCATCATTGTGCCCCATTCGCGGACGCCTTCGTTGATACCATTTGGAGAATAGAAGATGATCATCGAATGATTATAGTTAGCTGGAATAGTCAGCATTGAACCCATAACCCCGTATTCAAGGATACTATCTGTTTGACTCAACGATGTTGCCATAAATCGAGAAAAGGGTGAAAGAACAATCATGTCATTTTCTCCATGTTGAGTAAGATCAAAAAGAACAACTGGTCCACCAGTCATCCCTCCGGTTATAACTTGGCTAGATGAATTCCACCAGCCAGCATGTTTGGATACATCGCCACACATGTCTCCTTAAAAATATATAAATATAAAACCGACCTTCATGCTACTCTTTCTCTCTCTCTCTCTATTTACCGGCAAAGGTAAAAAAGCCCAGTTGGTCATATTCATGCAGTTGCTTTATATGAAATGATGGAAATACCGTGCGAACACTGTCCATATCCAAGGGCATCGAATTACTTAGTATTTGATCACCAGTATCCAAGTGAAATGTGATTGCTGAATTAGTTTGCCACTGTCGTATATGTCCAACAATTTTCGTATGTATTCCACCGCGAATAAGATCATAATTCAATTGTGTTTCATTCCAGCTCCCTAGATTTACATCCGAACCCTGTGCAAACGATATACCCGTTAATGGAAGCGAATCATCATCCGATGAGTACCATTTATCATCCACATACAGAGCAGTATGGGATGAGTAAAGCCATGTGAAATCACCAATCTTAATCTTATATCCACCCTCTTGGTCAACTAACACTCGCATATCACACGAACATCCAAGGATCAGAAAAGGCAAGATAAACAGATGCATTTTTAACATTTAAACTAACCTTAAACACAAGATAATAAGATCTTATATACATTTACTCAATAGATATGATAAGACAAATACATCAGAGGCTATGAAAGATAATTTTCTATTTATTTTTAACACACCCCATATCCAAGACGTTTGTGCTTGGTACATATTTATTTGATATCATCAGCGTTCTTTTTTTCGAATGAAAAAAGCAAAAAAAATGTTTAATGTGTTCGATAATAACTAATAATTTCCATGACATGTTCAGGGAAGTTGATATCATCATTAAGTTGTTGTCCTTTTCGTAAATATTCCTCTTTCGTTAACGAATCCGTGCCGAGCATTTGTTTACCCCATTCGACTTTGTTCTGTTCAAGTTTTGTACTAATCTCTTCTTTCGTTATCTCGTTATGTACCTGTGCAAATTGCAGTACTTTCAATGTTGTTAAAGTTTGATTTTCTTTCAACGCATCTTTCAATTGCATCAAACCACGTTGTGAAATACCGTTGAATGTCAAATCAATGGACCGAATATGATGATTCAATCGAATCAATCGGCTAATTTCTGTTGCTCCTTCATCGCCAAGAACGTTATCTAATCCACCAAGTAAAATAGTTGCTTTCATGTAACCGAGATTTAATTGTTGGAGTGATGGATGTGAAATTAAAGCATCCACTAGCGCACGCGCACCATCAACGCCAATACAATTCGATGCAAGACCCAATCGTTTCAAACGTTGATCATGTTTAAGACCAAGAGCAATTTCGCACGCACCTGCGTCACCTAATGCATTGCACGACATATACAACGATTCTAAATGGTTGTCATGTTGTTCGAAATGTAAACGAATAACACGTCCGCTTTTAACTGTCAAGCCATTTGTGTCAATATATAAATGCTTCAATGTTCGATTGGATTGAAAGGCATTGAATAAGATTTCACAGCCTTCATCGAGTAAACCAGTGTTGAGTAGATCTAATGTTTGTAAATAGTGATTTGTTGTTAACATGTGAGCAATATGAACAACACCAGATGATAATATCGGATTACGTTTTAGCCAAAGTGCTTTGACTTTGGTATCTGTTGCTAATGCATCACATATTAACGACATACAATCACCATCGAAATTATTTCCAGCAATATACCATGTATCGATGTTGGAATCTGTGTTATAACGAATATATGCTGAAATTGCTTCAGCACCTGGACGACCAACGATATTATTTCCTGTAAAAGAGTAACAATCCTATTTTAAATTTTCTTTTTTTATTCGCGACAACTCACCCAATAATAATCGATTAACAACGGAACTACATTTCATTGCCTCGAGCAATGGTTGTATGCCTTTTGGACCAACAACTTGTTTACATAAATCTAATCGTCCACCCGTCATGATAGCACCACGTGAGAAGACAATCGATTGATTGTCTTCGCCTGGTCCTGGTTTATTCATTACCAAATGTTCTAGCAGCGGTTGTAAGTCTTCCAAAGAACATGGGACAACTAAAACGGAGAAAATCGTTCGAAACATGTTTCCTAAGCAATCAACACGAACCAGGTTCCGGCTCCGGATTCGCAATGTATGATGATGGCGGAGCATTCAATAGTTGTTCTCGTTGTTCTTTCGTATATCGAAAAGCGCGATCTTTTCGACTTCGTGAACGGACTTGTTCATTTACGAAATTAGGTGATGCTTTTTCCAGCACATGGCATACCGACGATATCAATCGTTTATAAATTTGATAGCAAAAACCTTTATCCGCCTGTTGTTGTTTTTCACTTTTAGTGCCTGTAGTATCGATCGGATTCATATACTTAGCTATTTCCTTTGCCATAACTAAACAATATGTATGCCATTCGAAGCTTGTCTGTCATAGAAGAAAACGAACTTACTTGTACTTGGATTTGTAGGATTATTCGCAATGCGTGGTGCTTCTTTTGCACAATTGCTAATCCATTGTTGATTTTTAGTCATCATTTGTTCTTCTTGCTCATTAGCTAATTCATCTGGTTGATTTAGTACTGCTCGGGAATCACGTTTCAATTGTTCACCAAATATCTTCACACATGCATATTTCAGGTTATCCAGCGATGTCTTTTCAGCAGAAAATTCTTTTTCCATTTCCAGAACGGACAAATACAAATTCTTCAAATCCGACCAACTGCCATATTTCGGCACGAGATCTATATACGACGAAAGAACTTGCGCCGGTTTTTTCAAGTAAAGCAATGTCCAATATCGAAAGAACGGCGCGATGGTACCTTGCACATCTTTCGATTCACTATTGTGGAATGTCGTTCGTTGACACCAGACAAGTAACATCACATCATCGAGAAGATAAGTATCAACATGTTCGATAAGTTCTTGGAGAGGTTTCGAAGAATCGATCGAAGCCGGTAGACCGATTGGTACAATAGGCAATTTATTCTGTTTTCGTTCTATTGCGGGTAATGCGGAAACTTGTTTCTGATGATATGAAATAGTCGCTTCCAGCTTTTCTTCGAACGTTCTCAACATTTGAGTTTGCTGTGTGCTAGGGTTGTCCCGCGTCTCGATCTTATTGGACAGACGACTTTGTTGTTCAAGTAGAAACTGTCGAATGTCGTTGTTCGGCCAGGTGTTTGGCGTGAAATGACCACCCGAATGAGATTTAATCAATGGATTTTCAAAAGCCTCTGCTAATTTCAATGATCGATCGTTATTAATCAAAACATCATTAATTCCATAGATATGTAACGATGCAACATTTTTTATCGCCTGTGATTTCATCAGTTGTTCGTGACTCTCCGCGCGTGATGCAAATCCAGAAATCAATATGGCGAATTCGAATGAAACGTTTCCAAACGGTTGTAAACCAGATAAGATTCCACCAAGCGACGCACCTTGCTACACAAGAGAAAAGGCGAGAATTTCAGTATAGACTATGCTCGAGTGTAATACATACCGCAAAACCCAAAACACCATCGAAAGGCCCTTCTGATTTGAATAATTGATCGATATAATGTAAGGAAACATCTAGATGATGATAAAATTTGCTATCTTTCGATGCATTCCACCATTGTCGTTGGTAGCCAATGTCAGGCATGTTTCCGTCGCCGAAGGCGGCTAATAATTGTTCTTTAACTTCACCACTTGGGTTGTAAGGTAATGGAGCATTGGCGAAATAGAACGTGGCAACATCTTTCAGTTGTTTGAATAGTTTTTTTGCACTTCGTTTCAAACTGTTCGAATTCTGATGAAAACCGTGAAGAACAAGAATCTTTAATAGTGGACCTGTCGATGGTATCAAACATGGAACTTCATGTGTAACGGTACAATTCTGTGAATTCGGTTTCGTTTGTGCTATTTGAACGGATTGTACAAATCCATTTCGTGCAACTTTCAAATATTTTTCTTCATCAGCGGTTGTTTTTCGATCGAGTAATTGATTTCGATGGGGATAACGGCCGAATGATTCAATGACTTGCTGATGATTTCGAGCTGCACGTGCATTGGCAGCATATCGTCGACGTAGATCACGTTGAGTAACTTCGGTGACGAGATCATTCATGAGATCAGCACCTTTTGTCGTATGAACAAGTTCTTCAGAGTGTACTAATGGTAAATAGATGAACATTCGTTCAGGTAAACTGTAAATTGTGACATGCTTTGAATCTTGAATGATATCAAGAGTCAATTGTAGTGCTAATCGATCGAATTCAAACATTTTTGCTGTACCACGATAGATATTTCGAGGAAATTGATCTAATAAAATGATCAATGCGAGTTTACCACGATGAGTTGTTTGCCAACGTTGATAAAGAGCGCTATCGGGTATTGTAGCACTGGCTAAATATTGTTCAAATTTATCCTTGATTTCTTGATCAACTTTTTCATCGACTCTAAACCATAATTTTGTATTTAATGGATACGTTTTCGACCATGTATTAATATTTTCACCAAACCAATACGAATAGATCGATTCTATTGCTCGTAGATCTTCATCGATCAGAACATCAACTCGATTATTTAACGGTTGAATGTTGTTGATAGGAGAAAAATGAGTATCAACGATTGCAGTCATGTCTCTATGGCGAATAGACTAAGAAAACTATGTGTATTCATTCGTATGTTGCAATGCATTGCATCACATGGTCATTGCACAACTCATGGTAAATATTGCAATCAGATGAATAACAACTCTGTATTTTCTTGTGTGAAAGAAAATACTTAGAGAGGGTGTGGGTATGAGTGAGGGTGAGAGTTAATAGATAATACTTATACCCCCACTACATGTCTATAGGTTGAATATCACGAATACATGGAAAATACCAAGAGAGAAAAGCGGATTCTAGGGTCTACATTTCCTCTCTTAAGAAAAACATTTTTTAGAAAAATGAAAAAAAAAACGCATGATTACACGTCTAATAAAGAAATCATTGATTATGTTTCACGAAAAGAATAAATTACAGTACAATATCGAAAACATGCGAACAAGATCTTGAAATACACATTCGTCCATTTACAAAGAAGTTTGACAATTCCATACCGTTGTCATTTCTTTCTAAACAAAACATATCGTCCATGCTGTATTGTAAATATCTATTCATTTGGTATATTACTAACGTAAGATTAACTTTTACTTACTAGACTTTATTGAATAAAATGAAAAATATTCCGGTTTTGATTGAAAACCATTACAAAATTATTTCGATTCAAATCGGAAACATAAATGTTATTTGGAAATAAACATCGATTCTATTTGTTTAATCATTGGATCATCTTATATTAATCTCGATCTCACCGATTGAATAAATCAAACTGAAATGTATAAACCACGAACTTTAACATACTTGTTTACATATTCGATCAATATAACTGAAGATTATTTGAATTTACGTCGAATAATATCTTATTGTTTAACCGAATGGTCATTAGAATGAAATATAACAGAGAATAGTTTCGATTATAAATTCACTTTTGTTAATCTTTAAAATCAATCTGTTCCTAATAAACAATTGTATGATTATTCAGCATCAATCGATCTTATTGAACGTTAACAGTTTTATAATGATCAACGTTCAATGTCCAATATATTTCAATCAAATGTAATAAACGTAGTTTATAAGTGTACACTGCTAAGACTTGATTCTCAATGTCAATATTCATCAATACTATAAATTTGATTATGAACCCAGAAGTTTAACATGTTATGTTTTATTTCGAATGTGACGGACATGTTGATTGTTTGAACAATGAAATCGATGAAAAATATTGTTGGGAACTTGAAATAAATGAATATAACGAGAATGAATACAGATTTAATGATGATTAATGTATTTCTATGAAATTTTATGCTGATAATCAACATACAGACGATTGTTTCGATGAATGTAATCACGCTTTGTATACAAATTTTCTGGTATTTTTTATAAGTATTAAAGAACCATGAATTCACCTCGATATAAACAATGTGAGAATTACCAGTTCGTGATTACATTCATGTGGAAATTTATTATGAGATATGATCTTGCCTTAAACATAAAATTCCATTTCGGTTGATTGTTGGTCAGTATTACGATGTGCTTTTCACATATTCGATACATATGATCATCAAGGATGAGTATGGATACTTTATCGTTTGTCATTGCGCCCATAGATTCTATTGCATTAACGTAAACGAATCGCTGATTAAATAGTTGATTTTTTTTTCTACTCGTCAAGTTCGATTAAGAACAAAATAATAATTAAGGATATTCACAATAATAACAAATATAATGCAACACCTACCATTGCTCTTGAGGGTGATGATAGCGTATGTATACGTCAATTTTATCCTCATTCCCATTCTTAACTCATATGACAAGATATGAATGATTGGATAGATATTATAGTTATAGATCAGAAAATTATTATATTTCTATTTCGTGTTTTTAAATAAATCAGTTTATGCTTTATTGGAATACAGTAAAACTTTCCATAGTGAACACCTCTACATAGTGAACATGTTTTGAACAGTCCCGTTAGTGCTCACTGTAGGAAGGTTTTACTATATTTTGTTAAAGAGAATTTTCTTGAATAATATCAAATAAATGTTCAGAATATAGTGATAGATATGTTTACGTAGAAAAATAGAATCAGTGTTTTAAGATAATTGTAATAATGATGGAAAATATTGCTTTGTCAAATCAAACATCATTTCAGGTATCCAATGAATATTTTCATTTCTGTCCTGATCTAATTCGTTTAGCATTGGCAAGTATTTCGATAATTGATGATAGAAACGTATCGGTGTCATTGCGAATTGTCCTAATTGATGATTATAAATATTCGCAAAGCAACTTGCTAATACGTTATTGGGCATTATTGTACCTTTAAAGAAAATAAAAGAGCGAATAGAATTATAAGCGATGGTATGTGTTTCGCAAACGTACCGGATGTAGTTAATGGTCCATAAAAACCTATTTTGTGTTCGATTTCAATTCGAATGATTTTTGATTGAGTTAGCTTTTTGTCAGAAGACACCACGAAAAGATAATCCCCAACAATTACCTTTTTAGCTGGAATGTATTCGAAAATACCTTTTATAGAAACAACTGCAATTAGGTGTAAAGCAGTCAAACTAATCGAGTGATTTGATTCTGTGTGCAGAGTGTAGAACATCGCTTTAATAAAGAAAGCAAAGCAATTAAATGTAATAGATTAACTTATAGAAATTACTTTTAGTATAGTTATTTTTATCAAGCATCATAATCACTTCCGTTTTGATTAGATTTATCCCATCAGAAGTAATGAGAGCATCATAGCTATGTAATTCATCGATTCTCTTTTTTTGTCCATCGTATAATTCGATCCAACTGTCAGCCGCAAAACATGGAGGAGGTGTCGTTGTCGCTGTCGTTGCATTTGTTGTTGTCATTGTTGCTCTTGTCGCCGTCGTTGTTGTTGATGTTATTGTTGTTGTTGACGTTGTCGACGTTGATAATGTTGATGTTGACGTTGATTTCGTTGTTGTCGATGTTGTTGACGTTGATGTTGATGTTGATGTTGATGTTGATTTCGTTGTTGTCGATGTTGATGTTGTTGTTGACGTTGATGATGTTGACGCGGTCGATGATGTTGATGTTGATGTTGATGTCGATTTCGTTGTTGTCGATGTTGATGTTGTTGTTGACGTTGATGATGTTGACGCGGTCGATGATGTTGATGTTGATGTTGATGTCGATTTCGTTGTTGTCGATGTTGATGTTGTTGTTGACGTTGATGATGTTGACGCGGTCGATGATGTTGATGTTGATTTCGTTGTTGTCGATGTCGATGTTGTTGTTGATGTTGACGTGGATGATGTCGATGTTGATTTCGTTGTTGTCGATGTTGATGTTGTTGTTGATGTTGACGTGGATGATGTTGACGTGGATGATGTTGACGTGGATGATGTTGACGTGGATGATGTTGATGTTGATTTCGTTGTTGTCGATGTTGATGTTGTTGTTGTTGTTGACGTTGATGATGTTGACGCGGATGATGTTGATGTTGATGTTGATTTCGTTGTTGTCGATGTTGTTGTTGATGTTGTTGTTGACGTTGATGATGTTGATGTTGATGTTGATGTCGATCTCGTTGTTGTCGGTGTTGTTGTTGTTGATGTTGACGTTGATGATGTTGACGTGGATGATGTTGATTTCGTTGTTGTCGATGTTGTTGTTGATGTTGTTGTTGACGTTGATGTTGTTGTTACAGCTAGAATGAAACGGTGGTAATATTTGTCGTTAGATTATTTGTCATTGAATATGTAACACTTGATAATTAAAAGTCTGTAGTACAGTGATAAAAGTCGCTTTTCGGGTTTATCAATCTCAGTTATGTTTAACGAGTTAAAAAATTCCTAATTCTCACATACTCTATATCGGCGAACTGTTCATGACATTACATTATCTGACTTAAACGCCGTTGTGCTCGTATATAAAGGCATCATAGATCGTCTTTCATTCTATTTATTGTGTTACGCGTATCATCTTCAAGAAAATTGATTCATTCATACGTGTAGTCCTGCTATTTGTGAATAATAAAATCATTTGTATATACAAACAAACATTCACAGTTCTCTTCTAACACTATCAATCACATAAGCGAACTCATCAATATCAATGAGCATTTACATTCATAATGCAAACTGTTGATTTTTATCATGTGTAAATAGAATACAATAAGCTACATCAGATTATACTTTAATAGCTTTCATATTCATAATATATCTATGTATATAATAAACGCACTTACTGGTTGCAGGGAAAATTTGTTGAATATTAACACTATTTAATCCAGATGCTATTAACGTATAATTTCCAATCTCATTTGAATTATATGTTGACACAATAATATAATATTGTGTTAATGCTTGAAGATTCATTTGAATTTTAAATTGATTATTACCAGCACTATTATCGTCATAAGAGATTAGAAAATAATATAAATAGCCTGGTCTAGGACCATAAAATTGAGCGTATGTATTTATTGAACCACTGCTCATAAATACATACGAACCAGTGGCAGGAACATTGATTGAATATTGATCATAATAATAGTTCGATCCTGAACCATTAAAACGTGTAAATGTTGGATTATTTCTTGTTAATGACGACGAAACTGTTGTGTTTCTCACGTATAAATTAGCTATTTAATAAAATTCGATTAAGCTATGCTACGGTAACAGAAAAAAAAACTCAGTTACCTGTTGTTGTTGTTGGAATTGGTGGCAGTGTAACACCACGTGCCGAACAATTGTAGAATAATCGTACCTCTTCGATATCAATGGTACTCATATTATCTCGTTGTCCAATTGATATGTTTGCTACAAGTGTTTGTATTGTAGGAAGACCATTTTTAGAGAATGCATCTGTTTCATAATGCATTACAGATTTATAATCATAGGGAGTATTTTGAGTATCTACAACTGCATTCGAGTATTTATCAAAATTGGATTCCATGCCTTTATAACGAATGAAAAATGAGTAAAGATGCTTTTATAAATTATCTTTTTTTTTACCGGATTGAATATTTGCATAATTTATGCTGACATAATTATCACGATCTGGTCGTGATTGTTCATGATAAAAACCTAAGAAGAAAAACATTCACTTTATTTTTTAGTACTATGAGACATTACCCAAAGTATGTAATAGCTCGTGCATAACTCTTCCTTCATCAATACATCCAGGATGTTGTAGTGTAACAGTACGTATCATGTTAACACCCGTATTTTGTCCAACCTGAGAGAGAAATGAATGAGAAAACTATTTTATTTTAAAACATTCTTCTTACATAAGACGAACATCCAATTCCATTGACAATAGTTATATAATATATATCAGAAGCAGTTTTTGGTCGAAATTGAATACATTTATAATTATTGACTGCTATCAATCGTTCCATTTTTTGCATTGTTGCGATAATAAATGATTCTTCTGTTGATGCTACAATGATATACTTTTACTTTCATACATGTACGTATTTGTAGTTAGTATAGAATTCTAGAGTTGAACTAATTCAGAAGGAGAATTCGGAGTCAAGTAGATCTTCTGTTGAGAGTTATAAATAGTAATATTTATCTAAAAGTCACTTTTGTGACGATCAAAGATATTTACCATATCCAGGCGAAATTGTATAGGGTACAATTCCATTTGTCCATGGTACAGAAGCTCCACGAAGTGCAACTCCACGCTAAAGTATAGAAATGAATTAATCAGCTTAAGTGTATTGTATAAAACTTACACCTTCTAATCCCGACCCACTAGGAAACAACATGTCACCTTCAAATAATTTCGCTAAAATAAAGATTAACAAATTGCACATTTCGATCAGTTCTTTGAATAAAGTCATTTCGATTAACTTACGATTTTCATATGGTTTTGTTCGATTTTGTGTTAGCTGGTCCGTCTTAAATATAATATATGAACATTTTCTGTAATTCAAAGTAAATACATACCCTTGATATTGGAGTTCCATTGATTTCATTATGAAGAAAACAAATAAACAATATCTTGACCAATAAATTCATTTTCTTTTTTTTCGCAGAAAAAATCTAATATAGTCGAGATTGAGAAGCAATGAGAATAATGCTGAAGGCAGTATTTCTAATCAGAATCTAAAACAGGATTCACAATAAGTTTCAATTGTAGTTTATAAGGAAAAAATCTTGTATTACACATATGTCTTCCATTCGAACTTTCTTACTGAACCTTCCGTTTACAATTCGCTATGACACCTTCCTTTTCTAATGTACCGAAATGCGACGATGATGAATACGAGCACTTACTTCCTGTAGATCAAATCTTACTGACATCTTTTATTACTACAATGTCAAAACTTAATCGTTCGATATTTAAATGAATGCTACCTGCTGCTATGCTTGCTTTTATATACTGTGTGCAGTTCCTGATTTTGTTCTGCGAGGTAGTAGTTTTCTTTTGTAGAGCGAAGATAATCGAATGCATGATTTAAAGTCTTTATTATTATTTTTTAATTCTTGCCAGTTGAATACATAATTACATGTTTACTCGCTTCTTTGGATATCGAAGATACTTTCCAACTAAAAACGTCACACTCAAGATTAGTAATATTTTAGTAGAACGCAAGAAAATATCGAGATCGAAAGGGTTAATGAAAAACCAACAATAAGTTCGCCATTTCGTCTTAGTGTTTTCTTTCATCGTCAAATTTAAGGTATTAAATCATTAAAACTTGATAACAATAATTTTATTTCATCATTTGTATATATCAATAAGAAAAGTTCAACACTGTACACTTCTATAAATTCAATAAAGAATCTGTTATCTACGATGGGAGTGAGAATGTTGATCAAGGGAATGACGACATCCTCATCGGATAACAATAATTCAAAGCACTCATAGCGACTGAATGATGGGTTGGTCATCTTGCCCAATATTCATTGTGTGAAAGAATAAAATATTGACTTTCTTGTAAACAATTCTGCTTCATATTACAAACAGTTTCTCAAATAAATATCAACAAAGCCAATACTTCAGACATTAAAGATTTTGTATAACAAAAAGTTCACGCATATACCACATCCAAAAGTGTATTCTGTTTTTCAAATAATTATTATGTTGCATCTTCAAAAGGAGACACAAGTGGTTCCATTTTTAACTTGACTCATAACAGATTGTCATATGCTGTTTTGAAGTCCATTGTACACATTGAGAGTAACTTCTTGAGATTCGCTAACAAATGAAACCTTTCTTTTACGACAAAAGACTTAATTCCTGCGCTTTGCTTTGATATTCAGATATTATCGAAACAATAATGATGAATTCCTCAGTCACATCGTTACGAAAAGATTGTAATTTAAGTTTTTTCTATCATTTTAAACTGGCTTTCTGAGCGGTATTTTCAATATTATCACCGTCAACTCATAGCTACTTTTGTTTTATACAATCACAGAGAAATTCCTGGGAAATGTTTTCGATGTAATAGGGATCCAGCTAAGTTCCGCAGTTACATGCACTATATTCGATAATTTGAAAGGTGAAAATACTTTTCTGAACATGTAAACAATGCAGTTTAGTGAGTTCGTATCAAGTGAAGAGCATATTTTGACTTTCTTGGATGAATAGAAGCTGTTATAAAAGAATTTTTTATCATAAGAAAGTCCACAAAAGCTCTACTAACTACATCTATACAGTATTTTAACCGAAAGTGAAAATAGCGGATACAGGTCTAGGGCGACGTCATGTCAAAAATGTCACAACACTACGCTTGGACATGGCATATATTTATTGAAACATGAATACAGACTTACAAGATGAAAAAGTCAGATTATGTGTATCAACTATAGACTCTGTCTTTTGAACTGATGAGTAAATTCAATAAAAAGATGAATTTGTATTTGAAAAATTTTCTTTCGAAGTTTCTTTTGTAATCATTTAATCAGTATAAATGATATAGTTCATCGTCTGATAAGGCTGCATAATGCTGAATTGTTCACCGTTTCCGACGGGCCCAGTATATCCAGACAATGTGTGACTATGATCACCAGCATNGAGAAAAGATGACGAACTTTTCGATACTGATGACGATATTATTGATCCAAATGATTTGCCAATCGCACAAATGAATATGAGTCTGAATGGCGTTTGTCTTTTTCCGGATATGAAAGATTGGTTACGATCCGATTTTGAAGAAGATCCAGTCGTCGAGCCAAAACCAAAATCGACTGCGGCGAATGCCTCGGCAGCAATTCGTAGAGAAAAACAACTTGAAGCTGAAGCGGCAGCAGCTATTGCAGATAGTTCATCAATTATCGAAAAGTATAAAAATGACTCAAATACCACAATTTTAATCGAAGATACTCTTCCGATCGACGATAATGAAGCTGTAACAGAAATAAAAGTTGAGAGTGAAGATGTTTCCGATGCAATTCAACAATTAAAAATGATTGATGACAACATTAGTGATAGTTACGACGATCTTAGTGATCTTATTGAAAAAATGTAATTCTCTTTTCATTTTTAGCCTTTGTAGTCGATTGTTATTCAGTATGAATGAAGATGTTTTTAGCAATATATAAATAAAATAATGAAAATAGTGATCACTGATAGAAATTACACATCGTAATTGCATTTAGCGAAGAACAATGTGGAATATTATTCAAAATAGTTTCTTTTTATTGTTATTGATTTGAATGCCGATAGGTAAATGAAGTTTGCAAACCGACTCCTGAAGATGCAGTGAAACCAGCACTTGTTTTAGATTAAAACGGTGCATTGGAAACAGATGCAAACAGAGCAGGTGGTGCACTAGGAGTATAAGCTTCAAACGTGCCTGGAGCGAAGGTAGATGAGACGAGATTTCGTCTTGGATTATCATGAGTGAATTTGTTGCGACGACGTCATGACCTGTTTGATTGTATTTCCGGTGTGTTCTCTGATGGTGATTGTGTCAAACTCGATGGACTGACGTTCGATTGTTTAGTTGATCGTGTTTCTAGAGCACAAGAAAAAGCACCACTCTACGTTGCATCTTTTATTTATAATAAGAGAAGTTTTTATTCCAATAAAATAGAAAATGTCAACTCACTTTTATTCAACGATGTGGATACTGTGACAAGTTCTTTGAAGGACAGTGACGGATTAAAGACAATAAAGATTTTCGTAAATAAATTCAGACTTATTTCTATATCAGTTAGTCGTTTGTTCAATACGTGAATTTCTTCAGCTGTTGCATCACTTTCTTCTACAAGTTGTTTCACATCGTCTTGAATTTTCACAACATATCCTAGTTGTTCCTTTTGATAATCAACGAATTGCTGTTTATTTTCTTCGGCTAATTCCTAGATTTCTAGGCTCTTATTCACGTAGACGTCGTCGATTAATTTATACATGCCAACTTTCCATCGTTCAAGTTGACCAAGTGACAGTTCGATGAAGTTTTTCCAGCAATGTATTCGTTTCATTAGCTATGTTGGACAAAGTCTACCCAATTTCAACATTCGAATATCAATTCTGAAAACTGCTTTGACGTTCAAATAAAGGAGAAACACTAGCAAGAAAGACCTTTACACTAGCCTTGATAAGATTTTACTAGGAGAGATAAGTTTTACATTTCGCAAACTGTCATTCAACGACATTGGCTCTTGGAGTGTTTGTATCAAACTAGAAAATGTATTAGAAAAAAATTCCATGTAACTCATTGTGTTTTCTTATTCGTCTCAAAGTGTAGCCATGGTATAGTCTCTATTTGGATGAGTTTCTCGATGCTTCCATAGAAGTAATCTTCGAACAATCAGACATACTTCTGGTGATGCGTACCACTTGATATGACACGCAATAATATAGTTCGTGACGATTTCTGGCGGAAGAAAGAAAAATAAGCGGATGGAACGATGCCTTCATTTTATTTCTTCCTTACGAAGACTGCATCAGTTCTTCAGTACATCAGATTAGTGTGAGATAAAAAGGTCTCCGAGATTAAATAACAATCGAAAGGTTATGCAAGAACAAACTAGAATGTATTTGACAGAATTGTCACATAGTTTGGATAGAGAATTAAACGAACGATTTGTCAGTAAAACTTTCAAAAGTCGTATGCAATGCATTTTCTGCTATTTTTGCAAGGAACGACATGAGTCGGTTAATCAGAAAATTAATAGTTGCAATTACTGGAGTCATTCATTTGCATTCAGAAGTATAAAATTTCGATTGCTCATTTGCTGAGAATTGTTCGTTTGGTCTTTGCACTATGTTTTGTCTAATCTATTTGATCATCATCACGATATCTACTTTTTACTTTGTAAGAAGAATAATTGCTGTAACATAGATTATTGAATTATGCTCCATATGAATTCGTCTACTATTGTTGCATCTTAGCAATGAACACATAACAACCAACGCCGATCATTCTTGGTGTTCTTCGTATAGTCAGAGAAAGGTTTATAACGACGGAAAAATAGATTTTTATTAAATAAGTATATATGCATACGAAATACGAAATGCAAGTCAATTTTCACGGGTTAAAGAGAGAACACAGACAAGATTGTCATCAGTTAGTTATTTGTCTTCTCACCTGGATTAATAAATTGAGAAACATTTCAGACATCAGCCATCCACAATAATTTGAGATACAACACAAGAAGAAGAAGAAGAAGAAGAAGAGAGAGAAAAACGCACTAAATCGACGAAATGAGAAAATATATATATATATCGAGTTTTTCACGAGCAGAACCATTGATTGCCATCTTGCGTAGTTTATTATTGAGAATAGGTTCATATCTGACACTACGCAAAGTGCATACTCATTCATTTTTTCTACTTGATTCTACAGTGAGAAAGTTTTTTGTTGGGAATGTCAATGTTAGCGACGATGCTAAAAATAAAGTTTATTGACAGATTTCATAAGAATGGAAAATCCTGATTTTTCAACCTGTTGATGATTTTTCAGTGAAGCCATTCTCTTTTGCATATTGTTCCCACTTTTCATCGTCTTCAGCTAATGTTAACCAACGTTCACAAGAACTCGATTCTTCCAATTTACGTAAATCACAATACAGTTGATAATCCTACGGAAAAACCAAGGAAGAAAATATTCAATTTGTTCTATTCTATTAGTGCACACACTTCAAAAAACGCATGCCGTAATGTATTAGCAGCTGCAAGTCGGTGTCCGGCATTAACTTGAAGCAAATGATGTGAGATAAGATCAATAGCTAAAACCAAAATGCCGTGCTTATTAATCATGCAAGATAAAAGATCAAAGGGTGAAAAAAGAAGAAGGGAACATGTCGCTCTCTCTCTCTTTCTGTATGACGTGCATAAGATGTTCACCTGAAGCCAAGGTTGAAGGAAAACCTTATTTATCACTATTCGTCTTCTTCTATCAATTTCTAATAGGCTTTGTAAGAAATTTAACGCTAGAAAAGATTGTTCTGATAATCGAGAGTGGTGAGATCCATGGTTTTGTACCTTCTTTCGAAATTTCCTGCCAAGGATTGACTGGAAACATAAAATTCGCATTACGAATTTGCTAAAACGAAAAGGAAATGTTTGGAAAATCAAAACACAAACAACCATTACATCTTCGATTTCTTCGTCTTCATTGAACGGAAATGTTCCACTGAGACTAAACAAAGACCTTCAATCGACTGCCTTGTAAAAACAAAAAACTTACGAGACGTAAATTATGACGCCACATGACCACATATCTAACGACCGATTGTAACCTCTTTCCAAGCGTATTTCTGGCTTTAACGCTTCTGGTGCTGAAAAAATGAACGTGCTGGATATGATATGTATCGAACATGATGAGAAATTCGTACGTAAATAAGCTGGTGTACCAACAATCGATCGTCGGAAGGATTTCTCTCCGATAATACGTGCAAAACCAAAATCACATAATTTCGTCTGAGGAAAGTCTTGTACTTGTGCAAGAAGAACTAGAAAATAAGAATATCGCCTATGGAAAACTTTAATTTCATTTCCAACGAACCATTTTCAGGTTTTAAATCACAATGAACTATTGATTTGCTATGTAAATATCTCAGAGCCACAAGCACCTAGAAAAATTCAATGGATGCAACAGATCAAAAGAAGAAAGTCGGATTTTACTTGATAAATTAGAAATTTTGTTTGACGTTCATTGAGACGTTTTATCGGTTGACTTAAGATCATTTCCAACATATCCGAATGTAATTTTTCCATAACTAAATAAAACTATCACATCCAAAGAAGTTTCCTGCGAAAGTATTCTCATATTTGTTTTACTTTTCCAGGCGTGTCAAACATTGCGTGTAATTTGATCACGCCAGGATGAGTGATCTCATGTAAAATGTCGACCTCGCGTTGAATTTTTTCTTCTTGTTCACTAAAACGTGTTTTATCAATAACTTTAATCGCGACTTGTTCATTTGTTTCGATTGAGTGACCTAACAAAGATATTTCGAGTCTTCCCTTCCGATAAAGTCACACCAACGTACCTCCATAGACGGTCCCGAATTGTCCACTGCCAAGTACTTCAATCGGATTAATTTTAAACAGTTCACTTATATCTCGATTTTGCGATTTCGACGTCAATATTGTAAATGCACTTTTCACATCATTACCCTCGTTGCTGTAAGCTAATAACGCTTGACGAATTTGTGTATATGCGTTTCTGGCTTGCTGCGATGAATGCGAAATATCGTATTTCTATGTAAAAAAAGAATATCTTCAATGGATCAATGTAGCCTAGATGATGAACTTTACTCGATTGCGTGTACGCTTGTATCCACAGAAGTAAATATTTTGATCGGTACGGAGTTCAAAATAATGAAACCTCTCCTGGCTGGTATTCAATTGTAACACAATTTTTTCTAACGGAATCTCTCGAGAGAATTTATTAGTCGTTTCATTTTGATACATCGTTATTGATCTATAGAAGAAAGTAAGAAGTGGCTCGATCGAAGCTGTCGATTTCGACATACGATGCATCAACGCGCCAGTAATATCGTTTTTCCGTTAATGGCTCTTTCTCGATCGTATAAACCATCCATCCTTCCCAAAACAAAGCTTCGCCACTGGCTTTTTTCACACGTTTGATACTTTGAATAAGACGTTGAGCACGAATATTTCCATGTCGAGAAAATAACGACGATGTTGTTGAGGTACACTCAACATCATCATCGTCATTGTCAGCAATATTCATCGGCAATGGCGACAGATCACGATATCGTCCGCTGATTGTCAAATCATCCGTCGTTTCTCGTGAAATATTATCATCGTCATCATCTAGTTTGGTGCATCACGAATAATACATTCTTTCTCTTTCTCCTTTTCATCTTACCTCCCGACGTGCGATGCATTAACATGCCTGGACAGTTTTTTGTCGCTTTCGGGATGCACTTTTTATGCACACTCATTTTACAATCTAAAAATGACTTGTCTGTTGGAATCAAGGAGAAGATGACTAGTCGTACCTTTACAACGATAGCCCTGTTTCACTAGACCTTTCAGTAATCGCTTGCATATATGACATTTTGTTGGTGAACGATAACTGTGGACGTAAAAACAATGCGGCAAGACGGCTGGTAGATCGGCACCGCTTAATGTTAATCGTTTCCGGAAATCGTTCGAATCCTATTAGACATAGAAAAAGAATTCGATTAGTTAGGCGAGAAAGACGAGAGAAGAGGAAAAAAGGCACAGACAGCGATTCAGGTAAACTCCTGTTGACAGTAATAGAAAGAGAAATATGCATTTAAAGGTTGATGTTTTGTAAATGTCATCTTCCGGAACTGATTATCTCTTCATCGAGCGTATGCATATCTCGCAATCGTCTGATTAACTTATATTATTTCGAGTTAATCTTCGTCTGAGGAAAAGTGAGAGTATGAAGTTGACAGTTATGTCGGCTCTAATAGAGAAGAAGGGTAATTCGAAGAAATTAACATGAAACGGATCGCAAGGAAACCTAACAAATTCGAAGTGTTATAGGCAGTGTCTTCAACTTTTCAAAAGCTTCTTCTCATACATCATCGTGTGTCAATGCAATATCGGACATTTTTCTTGCCATCGAGGAACAGTTGTCTCGAAGATCAGATACGCATCGTTTGTGAAAATTCCGACCACAACCTATCACAAAATTCGGATACCAGAAAACAATTTCATACAGACAAAAAAGAGCAACCTACCTTCACATTTCATTCCTTGTTTGTACAGACCGAACAGGAATTGTCCACATAGGTCACAGAATGTCGGTGACAAATATGTGTGCAAACTAAGCACATGAGGCACTGGATGTGGATAGTCATTCATGATATACGCTAAAAAAGAAAGAATCAGTTGATCTATCGATGCTTTTCTATTCTATTGAGATGAAGATGGATCACTCGGTTAATCAAATTTGATTGAGAAAAGAAAAGAAAACAAAAGCATGAAGTTTGGCGAAAAAATATCTGATGCTGATTATTAAGCACGTAATCAGCACATTAAGTAAACGAACAGAATCATCAACAGTCAGAAGAAACACTTACGAAAGAAAGCTGATCTGTAGTTTTTTTTTTCTTCTCCTCTCTCTTTCTCGTTTCCTATCGTTCGTCGAACGAGAAAGTCGCCTGAAATCAACACATCAAAGAATGGTTCGCTTGTTCTCTTCGACACAAATGCGCGCTTATCAAATTGTTGATCTGTACTCTCGTCGTACCCATAAACGAGCGACGAGCGTTTATGGTTCTTTTTTTTTCGTCTATTATTTGTTGTTAGTCAATACTGTTGATAATACTAAAGCAGAAGATAGTTGTCGAAATGCCAACAAATACGTAAATACACGTTTTTCTTCTGTTACTTATTATGCTTTCGGCTCCCCTGGATGACGGATAGTCGACAGCAAGTGCGTTCTCGTTGTCATTGCCGACATCAGTAATATTAGCATGTGCATAGATGTAAGACGAGAGAAGAACGTGCGAAAAGCATCCGTTATGATTATTAGCGGCATTGAATGACAGAGAACAAAACATAAATCACATTAATTCATCAACGAACGCATTTCAATCAATTCAGATTGAAAGGAAAACAGTGCTCTATTACCTTACAATGAAGACGTTTCTTTCTCGAGACCGCCTCCCTACGGAATATGACTTCACACAATATCGACTAGTAATGATAAAAAAAAAGTGAAAAAGAAAGAGAGAAAAAAAGCAAACTTTAGTTTATTAATGTAATATCAATAATGAGCAGTCATGCGCATACCAGTATTAGATGTTTCACCAGAAAAAAAATAAAATAGGCGCTTTCGTCAAGTAGGTCGTATACTCATTTGTTTGGCATCCGTTTTTCCAAATAAGAAAAAGAAAATGCGGAGCATATAAACTATTTGTATTAATTTCATCGAAGAGAAGAAAAAAAAAGAAATCTACTATTCCTAAACTATGGAATTTCTCTGGAGAATAATATTCTTAGTTTATTATTCGTCAAATGATAATAACAACGATGTTTCTCTCCTGGGTTGTTAACTTGATTAGATTAGTTTGCTTGAAGTTTGTCTTGTTTTACTTACGAGATATGATGACTTCGACAATCGTATTCGCAAGACGAATATCGTTCAGATTTAGCGGAATCAACATCTGATACGATAGCGGTTCGTAGCGATAGAGTAAAATTCGATTGTGAAACAGTCTGATGTCTTGGTCCGGACACTTGAAATACACGGAAGGGATGCGAACAAATAGACAAACAAAAACGGGATGATTACCATTGTTTGAATGAATCGAGTGGCCACTACATGTAGTGTTTTCATCGAAAGATTCTGTTCAGATGTTGTTAGTGTGACTTTTTGGTGAAAAACACCGAATTTTATTTGGAATGAATAGATTTTCGTATATGATTCGGGTGATGACATGCCATGGAAATGTTTACCATTTGTATGCAGGTTGATTAACTCAAACGGAAATCCGCCTATGATTAGATAAATATTCTTTGGCTTGTTTATTATTCAATAGAAATTTTTTTGGCACAAAACTTCGGATTGACGTCCGTTGAGGAAAAAATGGAATTTTGTCCGCGAACTTTTCAAAATTAATTCAGCTATTTAGCGACATCTTTGTTTTTCTGTGGGATTGGTCGTTCGACTTGTATTGACTGAAATTACAAACTCTTGCACAAGTCGTCGTCATTTCCTACTGTCATTTCGTTGAATGGAACTGATTTTTCTCGGTACAGGCTCGAATAATCCAAGTCCACATCGGGGCGCATCGAGTCTCGGTAAAGAAAATGTTCACTCATTATTTTGTCTCATTAAAAATTGAGCATTTTTTAGCTTTACGTGTTAGTGGAACAAGTAATATTTACTTATTCGATTGCGGTGAAGGTACACAAATACAAATTCAACGTTCCTCGTTACGAGCATCACGTATAACAAAAATCTTCCTCACGCATTTGCATGGTGATCATCTCTTTGGCTTACCGGGATTTTTATGTACGCTCTCATCAAGTGTACTGCCGTCAACGGTGATGATCTACGGTCCACTCGGTTTGCGAGAGTTCATTGAAACTACTTTAAGATTATCTCATTCTTGGTTATCGTTTAAATATGAAATTGTTGAACTAATTCCGAATTCATATGACGGTGTCGATGAAAATCTAATCAAAGCAACATTGGATAAGCAGACGAAGGACGAACGATGTCGAACAGTAACCATCAGTGAAGATGGAAGATATCATCTAGCAAGCGATGAAGATAACTGTTCCGTTTATGCCGTTTCCATTAAACATCGAGTACCGACTTATGGGTATGATTGAAATGTGCGCATTCGATACAGCGTTAAACGAGTCGATTGAAATTTAGATATATCATTGTAGAAAATGATCTTCCAGGAAAGTTCGACATTCAAAAACTACAGCAGTCAGGTATTAAACCAGGTCCATTCTGTTCTCGTTTGAAAGCCGGTGAAACGGTTACACTTGATGATGGCCGAGTACTTTCACCCTTGGATTACGTTGGTCCATCACGATCTGGTCGTCGTTTAGTTATTCTTGGTGATTGCTGCGATGCATCGAATGTCATTCCGTTTGCACAAAACTGTGATGTTCTTGTTCATGAATGCACACATGATAATACTTTACAGGAAAAAGCGATTGAATTCGGCCATTCGACGCCTTCCATGGCGACATCCATTGCCGAGAAATGCAAAGCGAAATGCTTACTGTTGAATCATTTTAGTCAACGTTACAGACCGAAATCGTTAGAAGATAAGGAAAATGTCGTGAAAAAGCCGAAAAAAGAAGGAAACGATAAGAAGGAAGAAGGAGAAGAGAATGATGATGATGACGACGACGTGACTGTGGATCTCCTACTGGAACAAGCGAAACAGTCGACAAGCAAACCTGTTTTTGTCGCCGATGATTTTTTCACTTATACTATCCCGACTGCGAAATAAATCGATTTTTCAGGATATGTTTCTATTCTAGATGGATACTGATGGTGTACTACCGTTTGTTGTCAATCTGCCTCCTAAAGATCGGTTCGAACCGACTACTGTCGTCGGAAAACTTGAACCGAATCAACGTCAGATAAACTTAGTAGTCATTGTTCTACGTATTCAAGCAAATCCACAAAAAACGCGTGAAGGACATGAAATTCATTCATTCAAAGTGGCAGATCGCACAGGTTCAGTGACACTAAACGTTTGGAATACAGCCGGACAATTAATATCACCAGGAGACATTCTTCGCTTACAAAATTGCATCACGCAAGTCTTCAAAAATGAATTATGCGTCAAGCCAGGACGAAGTAAGATAAGCGATTACTTCTCACTTAAACTTCTTCTCCTCTTTCAGGTGGAATCATTACAAAAATCGACGAATTTACTATGGATTTCAAAGAAGACCCTGATATGAGCGTATTCACTCCGTCCATGGAACCAATGAACAACACGAATAAACGACCAGTGCAATTAATGTCTTGATCTTTCTCTTCATTTTTGTACAAATCTATGAATAAAAGTTTCTGTTAGAATATGAATTTCTCTTTGCTAGTCAATTGAACAATGTTATAGATAATGTGTAGCACTGAAAAGGATGTTAATCAGTTTGTACAATCACGTTTTCCGTTCTAAACTTCTTCCGAAAGCATCTGAAGTCCTTCGTTGTCACATTCAACAACGCAACTATCCGCCATGGACATCTTATTTTATCTCTCAATTCGATTGTCTTAACGATCAGTTCGGTCAAACTCATTTCGAATTTGACATCGACGGACACAATTATCATATCTTAAGAACCGGTAATTACTTCTCTTTCCTTTCGTTTTGCAAAGGTTTCTGTCATTTCAGGTTGTTTTCCTTATATTAAATATCATTGCACTCAACGGCCAAAAGCGTTCGATTTGTCCTCGGAAAATCGTCTTTATACGTTTTTCAAGGTACTTAATTTAGGTTTGCCAACATTAATGTACGGTTTGGCAGCTATATTTCTTATTCGTCATTATGAAATAGTCAATACAAAACAATATGGTTCTGTAAAAATCTATTTTCTTCTCAAAGAAGATTCTGGTGCTTCGTTTTGATTATTTGACACCATGAGAGAAGATCATAATGATCCCTGGTTCAACGACTAGAAAAGAAAAATAAAAGTTAGTTTCAGCAAACAAATCGAGTTTCTTGTTACGCATAATGTCGTCCATATGTCGATTGTCAGAACTGAGAACAACAACTGCTTGCTGACCGATGATACGTCGGCACACGTAGCTTTCGTAATGTCGCCGATTTAACTGACGAGTTTCTAGAAGCGACAAATTCTATTCGAAATTTCGCCATTTTTCGATTGAGATTTACCGAGCGTTGAAAGTCCTTCGGGCCAATGACGTTCATGTGCATTTTCCATCAATTCGTTTGTTACATCAAGTGGACAGCCACTTTCAAGTAATGCATGTTTGATTGTATCTTGTAAGGCGATGTCAGGAGTTGATATCATTCCACCCCAATGGGTGACACGGGCTAATTCTAACCTACCAGACCAACTAAAATCAAAAAATGTATCCGCGTTTCTGTTGCATGCTTGTGTTTCATACCGTAAGATTTCGTTGTTTTCCACACGTTCTAAACAACATGCTATTGATGGATTCGTTGCACAGATGGTACGAATAAACTCCTGAAAATATGAACGAAGAGTTGGCAAGCAGCGCGAAGCGAATGAATTACTTGGAGTGTTCGGACTTCGTTCTTGTAAAATTCAACGTCACTTTTATATTTCTGTAAATCATATTTGGCATTATTCAATTCATTTCGTAACACCTGAACACAATTGTGATTCTATTTCATACAGAAACTAGTCGATATCCTCTGAAGCAAAACAGAAATCAAATCTCACGATGTGATCATCTTTGAGTAACATGATTCCACAACCATTTTCACAAGAAATTAACTTTTTTGGACTATATTCACATTGATTTAGATGATTAGTTAGATGATCTAATTTAATTTTTCTTGAGCAACCTTCATTTTCACATGTAATATCCAAACTAAAATTATCGGAGAAGAGAACAAGCTTTCGATCTAATCACGCCTGTGTCATCTGTTTTTCGTAGATAAATATTCTCAACTCGCGATAAGATAAAGATAGTCAGATGAGTGTCCGTAATCACCAAGTACTTTGATCCTCAATGAGAAACTAACCGATTGAGTAAAGTTTTCAATATCCGCGGCACAGGTTTTAACTGATCGAGCTCGAGCGGTGTTCGATCGATGGGACAGGTTTCTGATCTTGATAACCATTCTTGAATACAAACCTAAAACGAACACAGAGATTCGAGACGGAAATGAGCTTTTCTTGCGGTTCATACTTGACAGAACGTATGTTCACACGAGGGTGCTTGAAGCGGATCTTGTAAAACACCACCACATATCGAACCTGAAGAAATGCACGAATCAAGAGAAGATGTGTGTATGAATGAAAGCGCGAAATTTTACAAATCAATTCTTCATCGATACCATTGGAAAATCGTTGTATATCGAAGCCCATCGATAATTTCCAAAATCGATGTGGAAAATATATCAGCACATTTCTAATAAACTAAAACAAACGTAGCAGAAGGGGAATAAAGCGCGTTATTGTCCTTGCAACGATCGATAAGCTTTCGTATGAGAATATTTTCTTTCTGTTTGAGACGCTGAGTATATATTCACTCGTCGATCAACTTTATCGTATGGTGGAGAAAAATGACCAGTTATATCGAATACATCGACATCTATATGCAACGTTTCAATGGTGAACAATAGGGCAAACGAAATCAAACAATTAGATGAGCGGGAGGAAAATATTGACTTTGTAAGCAAAATAAAAAAAAAAACGTATCCACTATTTGACATAGCTAGCGTATCCACTAGACGTGAGTTAACAATATTCATTCGTCTCAAAATCATGTGAAAATTGAACGTGCTATTCATTGATTTACTATTCCTACAGTTGATATACGAATTCGACACCTGACTATCGATTTACTCAACGTGCTCATCATTAGCAGAAAACGAATACACGCGTGTGAAGAAATCAAATGAATTCTTATGTCGCTAAACAAGATGTCATCCATTATTGATATTGTAATTGAAGTATTTCTCTTTAGTTTGAGTCAGAAAACGAATGCAGAATGTTAATTATCTTTGTACTTTCTTTTCGGTGTCATTCTGACGCCGTGAATAAGATAAGCTTGGCTCGAGGCATCGAATCGTGTCGTGTGTCTCGCGATATCTTTTTTGAAGTGGAATGGTGAGTATGGCATTCAGGTGGGAAGAAGAGGAAAGAATCTATGAGAAAAGAAACTATCGGCTTAGAGACCACCTAGCGATTGTTACTGTTTGCATTATTCAAAAAAAGAGGGAAAAATGTAATCTAACTCATTCTCGATCGAAGATCAAAATCCCGACTAATCGGCTTATGATACAAACTAGAATATAGAAGCAGCGACGTTCTTTACTGGTGCAATCAGCAGGAAGAAAAAGAACGTTTTTCTTTTTTTTCTTCTTCTTCTTCTTTACTCTACATTGAAGATATGATCTGATCTTTTGTGTACCCATGAATAAATAGATTGAGATGTGTGCTTTTCCTTGAAACACGAATAATACCATCCAATGTGATCTTCTCTCGAGCAGTATGTTGCTAGAAGTGCAATATTCATTCTCAGACTTGACCTAATCCATTCCATTCTCTTTTGCTTTAATAATATACACAAAAGACGAACTAATTGATGTCAAGAAAGAGAGAAGCAAGGATGACAAAATGAAGCTTTTTCCTTGATTGACTTTTCATATAGTTCCATATGATTTTATTGACAAATAGGCTAAGCTTTCTACCAACGAGTATATGTCAACATCATTACATCCAATTAAATACCTTTTTTTTCTCATTTATTTAACAGCTTTCTCTCTCTCTCGTTTTTTTTCTACACTGTTCGCTTACAAACACAACATTAATTGAAAATTTTAAAGTTTTGATGATGATGATGATGAACGTTGGTCCATCCATTGATAAATTCTTCACTTGGGCGTCCGTATATTCCTGTTGGTTGAAGAAAATCCATTTCTTGACTTCGATAGCCACTGCCGTACATTGCCGGGTTGGCTGCTGCTGGATCATTACTATAAAAAAGGGCTTGGTTTGGACTGTATGATGTCGGATAAATATGATGATGATAGGCGGCCGCTTGTGATGACCAAGCTGCTAAAGATGCGGCTGCAGCTGCAGATGCTGTTGAATTATCTGAACTTGTTCCACCGTTAGTTGACGGTGATGAGTGACGGTTGAGACGAAGCGACGGACTTTTCGCCTCTCGTTTACAAGGTGAGATATCATTTTTGTCATGTAGACTACTATTGGACGATGACGACGGTTTCTTGGTAGCCTTGTCTTGTTGCCGGCATTTAGCACGGCGATTTTTAAACCAAACCTACAAGAGAAACCTGTATGAATAGTCGTGAAAAGGTTGACGAGGACTGTTTTACTTGTATTCTCGATTCGGGTAAATTGATTTTCATCGCAACTTCTTCGCGCATGAATATGTCGGGATACCGTGTTCGATCGAAGAGGGTTTCTAACTGATCGAGTTGGGCACGAGAGAATGTCGTTCGTTCACGCCGTTGTTTTCGTTGTGATGAACCATTGTATGCCAAACTTGAATGTTGACTAAAACCAAAGGAGAACGGATCTGTATATCCGAATTTCAGTGTCGACGGGTCGTTGGTCATTGAGGCATAGTTCGTATAGTAATCACCTAATGGTGACGCGGCGTATTTGGTTGGACTATTTACAGAAGCCACTTTTTGAAGAATCAGTTCGAATTTGAAATAGATTAGAATTGCTGATGAAAAAAATTCATCGAACACGAAGAAAAAGGAGAAATGAGTACGTCACGCGATGATCGTTTGTCGGTGTTGATTGACAGCCG